ACAGCACCCTCAGACGGACAGCACCCTCACTCCCATATATATATATATATATATATATATATATATATATAAAATAACCCTCAGTGAGTTATCAGACAAAGACAATTAGAAACCTAGAATGTGACGGCAGATAAAAACACCCTCACACACAGCACCCCTCTTACACAAACACACTGCGCACCTCACACATACAATACGTCCAAATATATTCTAAATATATATACACACACACACTACAGCACCCCTCACACTGCACCACTACACACATAACGCTCCAGATACACGCTAGATCCCTTACCATATATGCACTCTTAATCCTCTATACACACACACACACACACACAATCTTCTATACACACTCTGGGTCCTTTACACACACACACTACATTCCTTGTAAGCAAACACATACAACATTCTCTAAACACACCCTCTCTACAACCCCTACACACACTACGTAACCTATACACACACACTACTGCCTGTATGTACACACTCGCTACATCCCCTATAACACTATGCCCCTATACACGCACTCTCTACAACCCCTAGCCACATATTACACCACAAAATTGACCTATTTACACAGTACCACACCACACTCTACACACACGCAATCCCACAAGCATGCGCCAAACACATGCACCATACACTTTCCTGGCCCTTTTGTCCTCTGGTATCCCACTTGTGGAGACACCAGAGACAATTTAAAAGCTAACACAGCGAAAGCATGTTATTACATTTGCTTGCGCTGCGCAGAACAAATTCAGGGCCTTTTTCTAATGCTAGAGCTCTTCAGCGGGGCTCTGTGCATTGAACCAACATGCTCACTTTGAGAGGGGGCGTGTTGTCATTAGTGATGACAAAACACACCCTCTCTGGCCCCGCCCCCTTCTTGGGGGGCCGCTCTAATTGAAAAATGCCCGGGCCTAATTTTTTTCCCAGTCCGGCCCTGGCTGGGAGGCACGCATTGCCACACACGGATACACACAATAACACAGATATGAACACACATACACTCACTTACATACAGACAAATGTACACATACAAAGTGGCACATACAAACACACAGGTACATATACACACTTACACACAAATAAGTAGCAATTAACATGGTTTTAGCTATAGTTTAAGTTCACTTCCTCCCGGCAGTTACACACACTGTTATATATACATACACAGTTACAGATAAATATACACACACACACACACTGTTACACATATACAAGATTTTAATACACACTTACAATTTATGTGGCTGGCTGCTCTTGCTACAGTAGTATGCTGGGCAATGTGATAGAGCAGATGTAAATTTTTGCTGCCACGCAATCTGAGTCCCGCGCCATTTTCTTCCATTCTGAGCCCATACAGAGCAGCCCGCCACCCCTTCCTCCTACCTGGGGTTCCTGGTGCTAGCCACCCATGCTGCCCCCTCTCCTGTTTCCCTGTGCTTTGTCTTGGAGCCAGGAAGAAATGAAGTTTAATTACTGCCTTTCAACACACGAACGCTCAGGGGAACAGGCAGCTTTGCCGCAGGTCAATTTCAAAGGCCGAATGTTTGACAGCCTTGATTTAAAAAAGCTTATTCAAAAATGTTAAATAAAGGCCTAAGTGACATAAAGCTGATTTTTTTTTTTTTTTTACTGGTCAGCATAAATGTAGTATATGTTTGAAAGGGATAGTTCAGTGTGCTTTGCAGGAAGAGGGCAGTAACGTGTCCTCTACCATATTCAATGTCATTAATAATCCCTGAAAAAAGCACACTCAATGGACTTCTTAATAAGCTTGAGAACACTATTAGTAAATACACAATCAACGTTTTAGTCCCATCTGGAATTTCATCAGGATAATGACATAAATGTAATTATGTCAATAATGCCATCGTATTGATCTCTTAAAACTTGCATCTAGATCAGGGGTAGGCAACTTTCGGCACTCCAGATGTTGCGAACTACATCTCCCATAATGCTCTGGGGAGATGTAGGCCACAACATCAGAAGTGCCGAAGGTTGCCTACCCCTGATCTAGATGATAACTGTCTCCAGCTTGACTGGTCACCTTAGTTGGTACGAAAATATTGCATGTATTTTATATAGCATCTCACAGTGCCTTAGTATCTTTAATGTCATAGGACAGGGATAGGCAACCTTTGGCACTCCAGATGTTGTGGCCTACATCCCCCATAATGCTCTTATACCCATAATGCTGGCAAAGCATCATGGGAGATGTAGTCCAAAGAATCTGGAGTGCCGAAGGTTGCCTATGGCTGTCATAGGAGCATAAACACCTCTGGAATAACCATCAAGAATTCCCATAGGGGCAAATTTGTGGCTTTATTTTTCTCAGCAATGTATGCAATGTATGCTTTGTTAATGTAATAGAAACAATTATTGAATAAATTGTTACATTATTTTAAAGGAAAGGCAACTGAAACATACCCTGCACGCTACGGAACAGCAACACAAGAAGCAACTAGAGAGCTTGTCAGCTGTGATTGTGAATTTAGAGCAAGAGTTACAGGAGGTGAGAGACGGGGTACGATCCCAGCTCCAAAAGCACAGGATACTCCTGAATACCAATATGAGGCTGGAACAAGAAATCTCGGCTTACAGGTGTCTGTTGGAAAAAGAGGAATCCAGGTAATTAATTTTGTGCAATTTTAATTCAGACTACAAATAATTTTATGATTACATGAGTACTGATTCCAGAACTTTGACTGACACAGGATATTACGGTCATAGAGTTCTTATAAATGATCTCTATGACACGACAACTCTAGGAGACTCTCTCTGCTCCAATAACAACCTTTAAAATACTTTGACAGGGTGAAAGGGACACTATAGTCACCAAAACAACTTTAGCTTAATGAAGCAGTTTTGGTGTATAGATCAAGCTCAATTCTCTGCCATTTAGGAGTTAAATAACTTTGTTTATGCAGCCCTAGTCACACCTCTTTGCATGTGACTTACACAGGCTTCATAAACACTTCCTGTAACGAGTCATCTAATGTTTACGCTTCCTTTATTGCAAATTCCATTTAATTTAGATTTTTTTTTTTTTTTTTTATCTCCTGCACTGTTAATAGCTTGCTAGACCATGCAGGGGCCTTGTACATGTAATTAAAGTTCAATTTACAAAGCAGGAAATAAAACTTTTAAAGTAAGTAACATCAATTGAAAATGAAACAGTTTTTGTTTTTATGCAGCTTGTGCCAGTAACAGCCAGGGGAGGTGTGTTTAGAGCTGCATAAACAGAAATAAAGGTGATTTAACTACTAAATGGCAGTGAAATTTCAGAGGCATGATCTATACACCAAAACTGCTTTATTAAGCTAAAGTTGTTTTGGTGCCTATAGTGTAGTGCAAGGGTAGGCAACCTTTTAGCAGCACTGTGCCGATATAGAATTGTGACGTCCCGTAGCATGCCGATCCTATGTTTTTTAAATTTAAAGTGTGTATGTTGCCGTATTCTACTTGTGTTATTAATACTGTAATTGCTTTGTATCATTGTATTTGTGCATATATGAGCTATTAGATTGAATATGTTCATTAGTAGTTTATGGTATCGTGTATGATACATATAAATGTGGGCTGTGTATGAAGGCTGCTTGTGGAATTGTGTGTGGATATGTCACATTGTGTGTTTGGTAGTGTGTGGGCTGTTTGGGGTATTGCATGTGAGAGGCTTAATGTGGAGTTGTGTGCATGTATGTGGATTGTTAGCGGGTTATGTTTGTGCCGATTGTGTGTATGTGTGTGTGTGGGCTGTTCGTATTATTTGTATGAGGGGAGGGTTATTTTGCATTTTTATGTATATCTAGCAGTGTGGGTGGCTTCCCTGGGTTCCAGGCTGGCCAGGTACAGGTCAAGGACATGAGCAATAACAGCAGCTGTAGGCTGCTCTACTACATTGTGGATTCCCATTCACAAGTGCTGGGAGGAAGTGATCTGAGATCACTTCCTCTATGTGCTGCAATGCATAAATTGAGGATTGTCCTTCACCACCTTTTCGTATTAGCAAATATCTGAAGTTTTATTGGGACTCCTGATAGGCCACAGCCTGCTTGGCTCTAGCAGCCTTGAGTGCCGTAAAAAGACACCTTGAGTGCCGTGCATGGCACTAGTGCCGTAGGTTGCCTACCCCTGGTGTAGTGTATAGAGTCGGATTTCAGGAACAGCTGGGTAACTACTTTTTAACCAAATGCTTTCATGCATGTTTATTTTTATGGAATTAGGATGACATTAATTTAGCATTTTATTATCATAATATTGGATGGGTTAACAGTGGTAGCAGTTTTAACCCCTTAAAACCGGATGGCGTACTATTACACCCTATTCTAAGCGGCTCTAAACACCGCAGGGCTTAATAGTATGCCCTCTGGTTTGTTGTTACTTACCTGGTCGCCAGCGAACCCACGCCGGCGATCGCGGTTGGGGAGACTCACCTGGGATCCCAGGGAGTCCCCCACGGCGGATCCTTCCTCCTGCGGCCCCCCCCAGGCCATGTGAGAGTGAGGTCCTTGCAAGGCCGGGTTAACTGGCTGCTGCAATGCCAGCAGGGGGACTGCCTGTAATGACAGTTAGTCCCCCTGCTGGCTGGAAATGAAATAAAATTAAATTAAAATCAGTGTAAAAAAAATAATTATATATATGATCTAAGTATATATAGACACATATACCTACACACACATACACTGCCTAGGTGTATTTTACTATTAATATATATATAATTATATATATATATATATATATATATATATATATATATATATATCAAATTACACGTAGACTGATACTGATTAAATATATATATATAATTATTGTTATATATATATTTATATATTATATAAAAAAATATGTAAATACGTTAAAAAATTAAATTAAAAAAAGAATTAAAAATAAATAATTAAAAAATATATAGATGTGTGTTATTTCGTTCTAACTGTATTGTGATATTAATATATATATATTTATATCAAAATACACGTAGAATGAAATAATATATATATCTATATACATAAATATATACGTATATATCACTATATATATACCTATATATAAATAAAAATATTAAAAAAAATTATATATAGGGTGACTCAAGGGGGGGGTTTCTATCTTTCCTCTCTTTATGGGGTATTAGCTCCTTTTCTCTTTAGTATAAGCTACTCGATATTAGTTTGGGCGCGCCCCATTAGTTGCTATTAACCCTGCCCTTTCCAGATACTCTAGGACACTGCTCTAAGACTATCCTTTTGCTATCCAATTACCCAGCTGGGTCCTTTCCTAGAATGGATTTAGACTAACCTGTTTTGTTACCCATTTATTATTTTAGGTGTATTTTTACACCTTTATTAAGTCAAACATACCTTGCAGGATTAGCCTCTCCCAGGCTTTTACAAATTTGGTGGTTAACTTATAATCAATACACTATTTTAGTGTATGGTAATAGTATTTGGACTATATACCATTTTAGCATTTTTTTCTAATAAAGGTTGTTTATCCTCTTCTATGTGACTATTTACATTATGAGGTACTTTGAATGAGGCTAGGCATTCCACCCACTTTTTTGTGAGTGGACTGTCTGCCCCATTTTTCATCTTTTTTTATATATATATATATATATATACATATATATACACATACGTATATATATATACATATATTAATTCTACATATATATTTATGTAATATTTTTACATAATTAGGTATCTTAATTAATTACAATTAGCGGGACCTGCCTGACAACCCATGCCGAAAGTATAGGGAATTTAATTTGCTAGCACTATATTTAACCCTATAACTTTCCAAGACACCATAAAACCTGTACATGGGGGGTACTGTTTTACTCGGGAGACTTCGCTGAACACAAATATTAGTGTTTCAAAACAGTAAAATGTATTACAACGATGATATCGCCAGTAAAAGTGAAGTTTTTTGCATTTTTCACGCACAAACAGCACTTACACGGACAATATTATTGCTGTGATACTGTTTACTGTTTTGAAACACAAATATTTGTGTTCAGCGAAGTCTCCCGAGTACAACAGTACCCCTCATGTACAGGTTTTATGGTGTTTTCAAAAGTTACAGCGTCAAATATAAGGTTTGTGTTTCATTTTTTTCACATTAAAATTCGCCAGATTGGTTACGTTGCCTTTGAGACCCTATGGTAGCCCAAGAATGAAAATTACCCCTATGATGGCATACCATTTGCAATAGTAGACAACCCAATGTATTGCAAATGGGGTATGTCCATTTTTTTTAGTAGCCACAAACACTGGCCAAAATTGGCATTTTTTGCATTTTTCACACACAAACAAATACTAACGCTAACTTTGGCCAGTGTTTGTGACCAAATGCCTACTTCCTTTCTATCCTTCTGCTCCTAGCAGCTGGTGATGTCTCTCCAAACCCCGGTCCCCTCTCAAAAAACTCAGCACCTACTAACCCAAGGATCCACACTAATCTCATACCAATCTCTTGTTCCTCTAAATCCCCCTTCAATACTGCCCTCTGGAACGCACGCTCTGTCTGCAATATAACTAAATCCACTGCTGTCCATGACTACTTCATCTCTCATTCAATAGATCTACTAGCCTTAACAGAAACCTGGCTCTCCCCCTCTGACACTGCCACCCCTGCATCTTTGTCCTTCGGTGGTCTCCAACTTACTCACACCCCAAGAAACTCTGAATGTAAAGGTGGTGGTGTTGGGTTTCTCCTCTCCCCTCACTGCTCTTTTAAACCTCTTCCCACCCCCCCTTCCCTCTCTTTCCCATCATTTGAAATACACTCTATTCGCCTTTTCAAACCTTTCGCTGCTAACATTGCTGTTATTTACCGTCCCCCTGGTTCCCCTCTTCTCTTCCTTGACCATTTTGCTGGCTGGCTACCCTATTTCCTCTCTTCTAACATCCCATCCCTAATTCTCGGGGACTTCAATATTCCTATAAACCCACCTTTGACCTCTGCAGCCAATAAACTACTTTCAATTACTTCCTCCCTCGGGCTATCACAGTGGGCAAATTCTCCCACCCATGTAGCTGGCAATACCCTTGACCTAATCTTCACTTATGCATGTACAGTATCTAATATCTGCAACACTCCTTATCCTCTCTCTGATCACCACCTCTTATCGTTTGCTCTCACTTACCCTCTCACCCAACAACCTCCGCCTAACCAGCCTCAACTCAGGAGGGACCTTAATTCTCTTGATCTCCAACAGTTGTCAGCTGACATTGATTCACAACTGCTATCCATCCCTTCCCTATCCTGTCCTTCACTGGCCATCTCCATATATAACTCTACTCTTACATCTGCCTTGAACACTGCAGCACCACTCCAAACAAGCACCTCAAGGAGGACCCGCCCCCAACCATGGCATACTAAATCAACGCGCTACCTGCAAAGATGCTCCCGGTGTGCTGAACGCTCCTGGAGGAAGTCTCGCACCCAGTCAGACTTTCTCCATTATAGATTCATACTGTGTTCATACAGTGCAGCCCTTGCCCTTGCCAAACAGTCCTATTTTTCCTCTCTCATTAGTTCATGTTCCCGCAACCCCAGGCGTCTCTTTGACACCTTTAATTCTCTTCTTCGCCCCGCTGTGGCCACCCCCCAAACCAACCTTACTGCTGACAACTTTGCATGTTACTTCACTGACAAAATTGAACAGCTAAGGAAAGAATTCTCCCCTCCTTGCCTTTCTGTTTCTCAATCACACATTGATCATGCCTTTCCTACCCTTCAGACATTCTCCCCAGCCACTGACCAAGAGGTGGCTGCTCTTCTTTGCTCCTCTCGCCCCACCACTTGCCCGCTCGATCCTGTCCCGTCTCACCTTATCAGATCTCTCTCCGCTTGTCTCGTGCCTTCTCTAACACACATCTTCAACTGCTCGCTCTCTTCTGGCATCGTCCCTGCTGACCTTAAGCATGCCACTGTAGTACCTATACTAAAAAAACCATCCCTTGACCCGTCCACCCCCTCTAACTACCGTCCCATATCCCTGCTCCCTTTTTCCTCAAAGCTTCTGGAAAGACTCGTCTTTACCCGTGTGTCTAATTTCCTCAATTCCAACTCTCTTCTTGACCCCCTTCAATCTGGCTTCCGCCCTCTCCACTCTACAGAGACTGCCCTTATCAAAGTCACTAACGACCTAATCGCAGCTAAATCCAAAGGCCACTACTCCATACTAATTCTTCTTGACCTCTCGGCGGCCTTTGACACCGTTGATCATGCTCTCCTTCTTCAAACTCTGCAATCGCTTGGTCTCTGTGACTCTGTCCTCTCGTGGTTTTCCTCTTATCTCTCCCAACGCTCATTCAGTGTCTCTTTTTCTAATGATACCTCCTCCCCTCGCCCTGTCTCGGTTGGAGTCCCCCAAGGCTCCGTCCTTGGTCCCCTTCTATTTTCTCTTTATACTGCCTCTCTTGGCAAACTTATTACCTCATTTGGTTTCCACTACCACCTGTATGCTGATGACACCCAGCTATATCTCTCCTCCCCGGACCTCTCCCCTGCTGTCCTGCAACGTGTCACTGCTTGCCTTTCTTCCATCTCTGACTGGATGTCCTCCCGCTTTCTGAAACTCAATCTCTCAAAAACTGAGCTCCTTGTCTTTCCTCCTCCTAATACTGATCCTCCTCTTTCGCTCTCCCTTCAAGTTTGTGGTACCAACATCAGCGCATCCTTGCAAGCGCGCTGTCTTGGCGTCATACTTGACTCTGGTCTCACCTTTGAGTCTCACATCCAGCATGTTGCCAAATCCTGTAGATTCCATCTCAAAAACATAGCCCGCATCCGCCCCTTTCTTGCACCAGATACTACCAAGGAGCTTGTCCATGCTCTAATAATTTCCCGCATGGATTATTGTAACCCTCTCCTGCTTGGTCTTCCCAAAAGCCGTACTGCACCCCTACAGTCTGTAATGAATGCTGCTGCTAGACTGATTTTCCTCTCTAGTCGTTTCTCCCACACCTCACCCCTCTGCCAGTCCTTACATTGGCTTCCTGTGTGCTATAGGAGTCAATTCAAGGCACTAACTCACACCTATAAAGCACTGAACAACTCTAGCCCCTCCTATATCTCCTCACTGATCCACAGGTATGTCCCTTCTCGGTCTCTCCGCTCTGCCCGTGACCGCCTCCTGTCCGTTGTCCGCACCCGTACGGCCAACTCGCGCTTGCAGGACTTCTCGCGGGCAGCTCCCTTCCTATGGAATAGCCTGCCTACCGCCATCCGACTCTCCCCTAGTCTTGCATCTTTTAAGAAGTGCCTTAAAACCCATCTCTTTAGGAAAGCCTATGGCCTCCAAGACTAACCCCTACCTCACTTACCTGTCTCTTGCCCTCCCCTAAAGGGCAGCCCACTTTTTTTTTGATTGCACACTCCTGTCCTAATGTGTCTTACACCCCACCTCCTATAGAATGTAAGCTCGATTGAGCAGGGTACTCTTCAACCTATTGTTCCTGTAAGTTTATTTGTAATTGACCTATTTATTGTTAAATCCCCTTTCATAATATTGTAAAGCACTACGGAATCTGTTGGCGCTATATAAATGGCAATAATAAATAAATAAATAAATAAAAAAGACTAGACATACCCCATTTGCAATACCTTGGGTTGACTACTATTGCAAATGGTATGCCATTATGGGTGTAAATTTAATTCCTGGGCTACTATACAGTCTCAAAGGCAACGTAACCAATCTGGCGAATTTCAATTTTAAATGTAACGTGCTATATTTGACCCTGTAACTTCCCATAGCATCATAAAACCTGTACATGGGGGGTACTGTTTTACACGTGAGACTTTGCTGAATACAAATATGTGTATTTTATTGCAGTAAAAGCAAACAGTATTATGATATTGACAGTTAAAATGTCATGTAGAACTAAAAAAAATAACAAATTTTCTTATCGTCTCCCATTTTTTTTCATATTAAATTATGTTTCATAGCTAAATATTTGATATTAAATGAAAGCCCTGTTTCCCCTGAATAAAATTATATATAATAAGGGTGGGTGCATTTACTATGAAAGCGGTGAATTACGGTTGGACAGACACACAAATGCCAGGTTTTGTTTACGTTTTGTTTTGTTCACAATGTGTACATTTGGCTCAGTCCATAAGGGGTTAAATATATCCCCTCACTTACGACTCACAGCTAACATGCACATTATTTCCCCTACGCCCCTCAGACTACTGTACATGTATAGAATAGACTAAATAAGCATGCGTGGTCAGCTACGGGCTGCAAATGCCATGTATTTCCTCATATGCTAATAGAATGGTGTTATTATGGGTCATATTTCAATTTAAAAAAAAAAAACACTCTGAGCACCATAACAACTTAATCTTAATAAAGTTGTCATTGTGCGAGGAGGTCCTGGTTGCAGCCTTATATGAAGTGGCTAAACTGTTAAAAACTGTTAACCCCAAAGTCTGCAAACCAGCAACCAATTACTCTGCCTTTGCACTTCTTCTCAATGTCAGAGGCTTCAGTCAGGAAGCCTTAGATGACAGGGTGCCACAGATAGACTGAGAGCGTCACTGGAACCTGATTGAAGTACCAGGATGAGCAATTAGGTGCCGGTTTGTAGACTTTGGATTTTAGTTTGTTAATGGTTTCACCTGTTCAGGTAAGATAGTACCTGGGTCTTTCTCGCACCATAACAACTATAATAATATGTTATTATTATTGGTATTTATATAGCGCCAACTAAATCCGCAGCGCTTTACAAAATTATGAAGGGGGGGACATTTACAATAAATGAGACAATTACACAGTGACACAGGAACAATAGGTAGATGAGGGCCCTGCTCAAACGAGTCTAGAGGAGGTGGGGTACAAAAACACAACAGGACAGCAAGGACGACAGCTACCAAACAAGGTGGAAAAGTAGCAGAACTGGAGGTGAGAGTAGAGTGTGGCTCTTTATGAGAGCAAGAGGCAGATATGGATAGATATGTTACTCTGGGAGTCCATAGGCATTTCTGAACAGACGTGTTTTGAGGGATTTTTTAAACAATTGAAGAGCCTGATGGGGGTAGGCAGGCTGTTCCAAAGGAATTGAGGAGCCCACGAGAAGTCCTGCATATTAAGTTGTTATGGTGCGCATAGTGGCCCATTAAATGCGCATTTTGTGGGCAAAATTAGATATTTTTTTTCGATTTTAACTAAATAAATAAATCAGCGTTGAGGATTGATACTTAATTCTTACACTCTTCCAGGATATATGGTACTAAATATCTTCAGGAACAAAAATCATCTACAAGCAAAACAGGATTTTCTTTGCCTGCAGGTAAGCGTTAATCAAGAAACTACCATAATGCCTTAAACATAGATCTGATGCTCCAGAACATGCTGAAAAGGGCCATGTTCTGTGAATTTTAGAAAGTGTGAGCTGAACTCTATCCCTAAAATGTTATGATGGCTCTCCAAACTCAAGATTAACAGGGTCAATGAGAAATACGTTTACATGTGCCAACAACATTCCTAAAATTGGTCAGGCGCTATTAAAAAACATGTCTTTGTGTCGTCATAAATCTTTAGAAAATTAATTTATGAGCAGTTTCCTGAGTTTAAATGCCTTAAAAACAATGATATGTTCCATAAAATGTGTTTTCATACCATTGCTTCTAAAAATTAACAGCCACATTTCCCATTTGTTAGAATATCAAGTTGAGTTTTTGTAGAGCATTTTTGATGGTACCATGGGACTTTTTTTCAAAATACATATGCCCCAGAGAAATTGAAGATATTATTTGCTCGTGTAGTATTAGTGAGTGAGAAATGTTTTGGGTATTGCCCGATGCAAACAATACAAAACAGGTACTAGGGGTAACATTTTCATTATATTCAAGGAACACTCTAAGCACCAAAACATTAACTTGAATGAAATGGTTCTAATGCACAGATTGTGCCTCTGCAGTCTCACTGCTCAATTCTCTGCCATTTAGGAGTTAAGTAACAAATACCCTGCATGTGACTCGCGCAGCCTCTCTACAAATTTCCTGCAAAAGAGTTTAATTGTTTTTAACCTCCCCTTATTGCATAGTGTGTTTAAAGGGACACTGAGCCATAGAATTTTTTTGGAGGGTGAAGGAGGATTAATCCAAGTAGGTAGACTACTGTAGAATTAGGAATACGAAAATGTATTCCTAATGCTACAGTGTGCCTTTAATTTTAAATGTATTAATTTGTGCTAATTGTCTCGTTAATTGCCTTCAAGATCTTGCAGGGGCCTCATGTGTGATTAAAGTTCAAATAACGAAGCAGAAGATTAAAAAAAAAAAAAATGTTTGTAAAAAATTTTGTCAAAGAGAAAATTTTCCTGGAAAGGAAATTAATAAAAAGTATTAATAAAAAAATGTTAAAAAACTTCTAAAGTAAACACACTGTGTGTGGTTTAGGCTGCATAAACAGAAACAATTGTTTTAACTAAATGGCAGACAATTTAACAGTGAGACTGCGGGGTCATGATCTATACACCAAAACTGCTTCATTAAGCTAAAGCTGCTTTGGTGCTTAAAGTATTCCTTTAATCCCTCCATGCTTAATTCCCCAGACCTTTTTTTACCATAGAACTGGATAATGAAGTATGAATCACATCTGCTGTAAGCTGTATTGTAGCTATCTACAGTCAATCGTAATATAATTTTTTAATTACATTATTTATGATGTTTTTTTACCATGGTCTCCGCAGGGACTTCGTTTGTTAGATGAGTAAGTTAGGTGACAAAAGTTACTCCCAACAAGATCTCAGATCTGAGCTGTTGGGCAGTTATGTTGAAATACTCTAGGGAATCATTGTATTGTAATACAGGTCTATACTGTGCTGTATAAAGAAGAGGAAAGATCAGCACACTTTAGGGATGTGCATTGGCAAAAATTTTGTTTCTGTTCGGACTTCTGAAATTCGGGGCTTTCGGCAGTTCCCTAACCCTACTCCTAACCCTAACCCTAACCCCCAACCCTACCCTTTCCCCTAACCCTTCCCCTAATCCCACCCCTAGCCCAACCCTAACCCTACCCTGCCACTAACCCCCAACCCTACCCCAAATCCTAACCCTACCCTAACCCCAACCTTCCTCTACTCCTAACCCTAGTAGGGTTAGGGGTAGGGATGGGTTTAGGGCTATGGTTAGGAGTACGCTTAGGGGTAGGGTTAGGGTTAGATTCCTGTCATCATTCCCTTAATTTTCCCTCCCTCTCCTGTTTTGCCACTTTTCAGAAACCCAAAGCATTTCGGCACTTCCGAAATTCAGCAATTCGGGACTTCAGTAATTCGGTTCAGTTCGGCACTTCCTGACTTCTGCAATTCGGGACTTCAGCAATTTGGTTCAGTTCGGCACTTCCTAAATTCGTCAATTCGGGACTTTGGCAATTCGGTTCGGTTCAGCACTTCCGAAATTCGGCATTTCGAAAATACGCCACTTCGGCAATTCGGCGATTCGGAAGCATCCGAATGTCCGAATTGCCGAAATTCATCCGAATTTGAATTCATACCGAAACAAATTGCACATGTCTAACACACTTTGTGAAAAGCATTTTAAGCTTGTATAGACAGCTATAGCATAGAGGTTTGTTTAGGTGTGACAGATAAGGCATGTTTATCCCTTTTGTTGCATTTTGTCTCATTTTAAATCTATCTACAGAAAATGGATACCAGCTTCCTGATAGAAAGGCCACTCAGTTTTATGGGACCCAGAACGAAATTGGAAGAAAACAGCTACTTGCAGGTAATAGTACATAAAATATATATATCATTGGTTATAATTTTCTACCTTTTTTGTTGCATAATCATTTTTTCCAAATTCTCCTTCCCCCCACAAATGTGTGTCTCTTAAATTTATGCTGTTAATTTAAAAAAAAAATCATTGTTCAATTGTTTCTCTTAGCCTTTAAACATGTAACTTGAATTATGGCTATCTTCAGCCTTAAATCAAGTTAAAAAGTATAGGAAGCCGTTTAGCATTTTGTTAGTACCACCAGGAAGACAAGACCATGAAGTAAAAGAATCCCTATATAAACATAACAATATGAAAACAGTAAAAATAAAAAGTCACATATAGACAGAAGATGTATATAGTGCTAAAACACATGTTGACAAAATGGCATATGCTCTTGAGATACATCTATAGTTTAAAGGGACACTGCAGTCACCAAAACAACTTTATCTTAAAGGGAAACTATAGTGCCAGGAAAACAAACTAGTTTTCCCGGCACTCTATCTTCTCCCTCCGTCAAGGTCCCCTCCCCTCCCATGGTGCAGAAGGGGTTAAAAACTTACCTAGGTCCAGCGCTGATGTCCCTCGGCGCTGGCTCAGATCCGCCTTCACTCTGCAATGGCCGAGCTCGCATTAGGAATTCCCTATAGGAAAGCATTAATTAATAGCGTGAGAACGTCCAGCATCATTTAGGCGACCAAAAGTCGCCTAACCACCCGGAAGTCCGAGGAGGATTTAACCCTAGTATAAAACCCTAGTATATATTTTTAAAAACTGCGATAATTACCTGCTCAGGCTTACGGACGCTGGGACAGTGCACCCAGACCACTTCAATGAGCTGAAGTGGACTGGGTGCCTATAGTGTCCCTATAATGAAGCAGTTTTGGTGTATAGATCATGTTTCACTGCCCAACTGCCATTTAGGAGTTAAATCACTTTTGTTTCTGTTTATGCAGCCCTAGCCACACCTTCTCTGGCTGTGACTGACACAGCCTGCATGAAAACAAAATGGTTTTACATTCAATCAGATATAACTTACTTTAAAAGTTTTTAATCCCCTGACACACAATAGGCTCCTGCAAGGTCTAGCAAGCTATTAACAGAGCAGGAGATAAGAAAGTCTAAATTAAACAGAATCTGCACTAAAGGAAGTGTAAACACTAGATATCTTTACAGGAAGTGTTTAGGGGGGATATGCAAGACACATGTAGGGAGGTGTGCCTAGGGCTGGATAAACAAAGCGATTTAACTTCTAAATGGCAGAGAATTGAGCAGTGACACTGCAAGGCTGTGATCTATACGCCAAAACTGCTTCAGTTGTGTCCCTTTAATAACCCTTTAAGGACCAAACTTCTGGAATAAAAGGGAATCATAACATGTCACACATGTCATGTGTCCTTAAGGGGTTAAATAGATTTGGCACATATCTATTAAAAAAGCGCCCAAAATGCTAATTGTAATTATAATCAAGAAATAACATTGCCAGGATTATATTTTCAGAATTACTGACAACCATATTTGAATAATAAACACGCTCAATAAAGTTTTAGAGTAAATGTACCCCATTTACATTTTTATGTCTTTATATTATTTTGCTGTATGTGCAACAATGTCCAGTAATGACATCACCGTGTCAGCATTCTATTTAATATTAAACTGTGTTCTGAAATCTAGATACAGCTGTTGTGAAGCAACCCTTACAGAAACATTTTGAAACAATGCCAGTGGAAGTGCAAAACGGCCTCATCGAGTACACAAATAGTAAGGAGTACAAAAGTATTTGGACACCTTTATCATATTGCTATCTAGAGCTGCTGATTCTCTCCTCTTTTATCTCAGCGGTTTTACTGTTAAATAGACATGTGCAATTTGTTTCGTTCTGAATGTACATTCGTGCGAATTTCATTGCTATTCGGACATTTGGATGCTTACGAATGTCCGAAGTGCTGAGGTTCTGAAACGCAGAAGTGATGAAGTTCAGTAGTTCAGAAGTGCCAAAGCTCCGAAGTGATTCGGATTTCTGAAAAGTGGCAAAACAAGAGAGAGGGAGGGAAAATTACGTGAATGATGACAGGAATCTTGACCAATAAGTGAATTCCTTTTGTGCAATGTAATGCTTGCTTGCCCAATCCGGTTTTACTATTCCCTGTCCAATGAAATTAGCAAATTTTTGTGATTGATGTTAGAGGACAGCCAATTAATGGTGATTTTGTCACTGACACTTGGCCAATGAAGGCACACACAGTCATTAAGGTGGGATAGTATATAAATCAGGCTGTTAGGGTGTTGGCTTGCATTCGTGTGACCAGACTAGTTGTGATAGCACAAGAGACTGAGAGAGATAAATTACATTACATTTATTGTACTTTACTTGTTGCAAACTTGGAGAGCCACATTGCTTTTAAGTGTGTGTTCCAGGGAGAGAGCGTGAGTTTTGCTTTTTTTTTCCTTCTGCATTTTGTTTCTTTTTTTGAAGAAGGGGGGGGAGTGGGAGAGTGTGTGGCTGTGCTCATTACCAGGTTGTCTCTCTGCTGCACTGTGACTTTGCTGCAGTGATTAATTTTGTGTTTTTTAGTTTTCTATTATTTAATTTAAATAAAAATGTAATAAAACAAAAGAAACCATAATGGTACGTCCATGTCCTCCACACATTCTCCCCTCTCTCACACACTCTCACTTGCTTGTTCACACACAAATTGCTTTCTCTCTGCTCTCACACTCTGCTCCACAAAACTCTCCACAAAGATGGTGTCACAGGGGTCGGATTATATAGTGTGCAAAGTGTTGCTTGCTGATTGGCTGCACTATCTGTGCATTGAAAATATAATTTTGTAAATTTTATACATACTAAACTAACACTACTAATTATTAACTAAACACAGACCACTTCTTTAAGATTAAGTGGTTTGGGTGCTGCTGTGGTCCACTATGCAATGTAAAACAGCTGCTTAAGAAAAAAACAACACACAAATGTTTATTTTTAAAAAACATTCCGAACTGCCGAATGCTTGAAACGAATGACATGCCAAATGCCTGAAATGAATGCCCGAATGCAGTGTGCCCGATCCGAATACCATTCGGCAGTTCCGAAGTGCCAAACTGAACTGAATGCCATTGCTCAGACAAATTTTCTTACTTACCCAAATTTCCGAACGAAACAAATTTTTTGCCCATGCACATCCCTAGTGTTAAATAATAATTATACATTTAGTATATATTACAACACATATGATAAAATGGATCACTGAACCGATTTTACAAAATAAAAAATTTGGTTGCCTTCTAATCCTAAATTAAATCCTCTATATAATGTTAAAGGAGCACAATAGCCTTAGGAATACAAATGTGTATTCCTAATTCTACCCTGGTGGCTCCCAACTGCAGGTAGTAAAAAAATAATAATAATAATAAAAAAAGGTATTTTAGCTTAGCTTTTCTCTCTCTCAGTGACAGTCTCTGTTGCTTGCCCTGCTTCCTTGGCTGAGTTAATCAAGATCGATGGTCTCAGCCAATCCAGTGCTTTCCCATAGGAAAGTATCAGGAAGCTACCTTGCATGCGCGGCAAAACGATGTGCTGTACCAATTACCGTATATACTTGAGTATAAGACGAGTTTTTCGGCCCCTTTTTTGTGCTGAAAACCCCCCACTCATCTTATACTCTAGTCACTGTCTGTATTATGGCAACTTACATTGCCATAATACAGACCAGGACCGCCGGGCTCATTACAAACCCGGCGGTCCTGTTGGGGGCTGGCAGTGAGCTGTAACTTACCTTTCCTGCAGCTCCTGTCAGCTCCCTTCTCCTGCGTTCCGGTCAGCTCCCTTCTCCTCCACTGTAAGTCTCGCGAGAGCCGTGCGGCACTTAGACCGCGAGACTTACAGTGGAGGAAAAGGGAGCTGACCGGAACGCAGGAAAAGGGATCGGACAGGAGCTGCAGGAAAGGTAAGTTACAGCTCGCTGCCAGCCCCCCTCCTACACAGCCCATGCCACTGGACCACCAGGGAATGAGAGCCCCCCTCCCTGGCCATTTATCAAGCAGGGAGGGGGGACAAAAAAATATAAATAAAAATTTAAATAATAATATAATAAAAAATTTAATAATATTAAAATAAAATAAAAATAATAATAATAATAAAAAAATGTATATTAAAATAATAATAATAATTAAAAAATAATAATAAAAATGCCCACCCCCCACCAAGGTTACACACTCTGCATCACACACACACACTGCATTCATAAACACACACACACACACTGCAGTCATACAAACACACACACTGCATTCATACAGACACACTGCATTCACACACACACACACACTGCATTCACAAACACACTGCATTCACACACACACACTGCATTCATACACACACACACTGCATTCACATACACACACTGCATTCATACACACACACTGCATTCACACGCACACACTGCTTTCATACACACACACACTGCATTCACACACACACACACACACACTGCATTCACATACACACACTGCATTCATACACACACACTGCATTCACACGCACACACTGCATTCATACACACACACTGCATTCATACACACACACACTGCATTCATACACACACACTGCATTCATACACACACACTGTATTATATACACACACACTACACACACTGCATTCATACACAAACACTCTGCATTATATACACACACACAATGCATTCATTATATACACAAAATAAATATTCAATTCATGTAATTTTTGGGGGATCTAATTTTATTTAGAAATCTTCCAGTAGCTGCTGCATTTCCCACCCTAGTCTTATACCCGAGTCAATACGTTTTCCCAATTAGGGATCTCGACTTATGTTTGGGTCGACTTATACTCGAGTATATACGGTAGATGGTCTACAAGAGGTAACCTGATAGAAATAGCAGATTTTTACCCTGCTATTTCAGGGGAAATGCCTCTAGTGGATGTCTAAGTAACAGCCACTAGAGGCATTTAAACCGTGCAATGAAAACATTGCTGTTCTGCAGAAGTGGTCTTTTTGCCTATAGTATCCCTTTAAGAAATACAGTACTGCTAGTTATGCAGTGACTAAGAATTAATTAGCCGTCTCCATTATTCTTGCATTCATTCATTTCATTTTAGGTAATTACTTACTCACTAAACACAGAATTCTGGTGACGTTAACACCAAATTCCAAAATTTTGCCGAGTTTTTTTGAGTATTTTTCCAGATCAGCACTTGCCTGCATTTAGCAATTAAATTCTCTACAATTCAGTGTCTGCAATTTGTTTTTTGATTCGCTACAATTCTGTATTTAGTGAATAAATGTCATTGTATCAATTTTAGAACAATGAAATGCTATGTTTCAAACACTCAATATATAATTACAGTTTGTGTTCTAATATACACACATACAAGGTATTGACTAAGTTAGGAATTGCATACATTGTTCAAGAAATTTCTAATTTTAAGGCAAAACAAGTCATGCCCCCTGATGCTGAGCCAGCATTATGGCTGTTAGAATATTATGGGAGATGTGGTCCAAATCATCTGTAGTGCAAAAGGTTGTCTACCCCTGATCTATAGTTACAGCTTGGGTGTGTTAGCCTGAAGTTTTCAAATCAGTACAATAAAAAAAAAAAAAAAAACATTTTTGTGTTATTTACTGAAATGGGAATTGTTGGGAATCCAAAGTAAATGTCAATGTTAGGCCAAAATAACCAGAACGTTCAGTTTAACTATTTTGGCCTTTAACCCTTCACTATGCATGTATCAGTGTGTATGTCCAAAGCAGCAACATTGCTGCAATGTGAGAGTGACATGGTATGCGCAGTATCATTGTAATGTAGTAATATATACAAGATATACACGTTTCAGCTACCAACTGAGAGCTTTCATCAGGACAACAAAGAAAAGATTTATATTTTGTAATATTAAGTGCCTGGAGTGCAGTTTTATCTTGTTTATTTGTACAATTTTTGCCAAACCTGGGCTTCATTGGTTCTAACCAGGAGCGCACGTTTTTGGACTTTATATAAACTAAATACAGTATATATATATATATATATATATATATATATACACATAGTATATGCCTACACATGCCTTTTTATTTTTTGGCTGGGCAGTCTCAATTTTCAGGTCCTGTCCTGTTTTAGTTCCCTGGCATCCTGCTATTAGGGACCTTAGGGAACTGTCCCCAACAAGCATAGCACGTGTGCATCAAAAGATACGCTTGCGCTATGTTTAGGGCACTAGGACCATGCAGGGAGCACTGAGACGGTGCTCCCTGCAGGATCTGCCCTCAGTGGGCCGGATGAGTGATGGAGGGGCAGTCTGGCATGCATTCATGCCAGGCTGACCTGCCATTTACTTGTGCAGACCTGCCACCTTTCACACCTTTTGGGGGTGGAGCTAGTGGCACAGTTACATCACTGGCCCTTTCCCTTTGCATACCCTTCAACCAGCGATTTTCAGAACGGAATGGAATATTTGGGGACAAATGTCTATGTTACATATTCAGGAATATTATATATTTACAACACTGTTTTCCTTAACTTCATTATATGGTAAATGATTTGTTAAAAGTTTTTCTGTCCAACTAAAATTTTTGTTGTTGTTATCCATGCATAATGAAAAGAAAAATACATGTCAACATTACTTTTGGAATCTGGGGTTTGTTTTTACATAAACCACTTGGTAGCAAAGGGTTTAATTTGAAAATCACTTTGAATTAGTGATAATTCTCATTTATTGAATAGACCTCTGTGTTTGTACGTGAGCAGGTATTTACTGAACCAAGAGATGAGTAGAATTGACAATTCAGTCACAAATGAAAGGCAAAAAAATCTGAAGAAAAAAAATTGCTCAACAGTTATTTTTCAGGCTTGAAGATATGGGAATAAATTTAGCCACTCTCTTGCCAAATGCCCTCAGTTTCCAGTTTACTAAATAACAACAATATATTAGGTTTTGCAAAGCTTCCGGCTAATTATCTTGAAAATTTCTTCCTACAGACTCAAGTGTACAGAAATGCACCGTGGTTAATCAAAAACACAGAACAAAGCAGGCAATATTTAATGGAAATATTGCAGAGGAAGGTGCCGAAGCCAGCGGCAGAATTCAGTAAGTATCTTTTTTTCGTTGGCAATTAAAATTGCATTAAACGTATAATTACGAAATATATCATAATATGAATTATACTACATTATAGCTCACTACTTACAAAATGTGAGGCATCCTCTATTATGAACCCTGTGCCAAATTTTTATGTAGCTCAAAGTAACATGTGAAGTCATTTGTATAGGAGACCACTGGTTGCCTGACAATCGGTCAGCTGCTCCCTTGTTGGTGCCAGATGAATAGTAAAGAGTAGATTGCCTGCAAGGAGAAAATATATAGTTTTTTCTTAAAATTCTCAATGCATTTTCAATACAATACATTGAATGGTTTAAGTCATTTCCAGGCTGGCATGTCCCTTTAAGAATTAGATTTTATGGAGATCCATGCTGGATAGCAGATGAGCCATTTGGACAATAATATAGTCAAACCAAAAGAAGTTAACTTTTTATTTCAGGGACTTTCCTCCTAGCAGGGTTCTCTTATTCCAGAAATTATCTGTAATGTATAAAAAGATACAGTGGTGTAGGCAAAATATTTTACTCATCTATAAAGTCTATTTATCTATATACATATCATACAGTATATGTGCAAATGGAAATATGTGGCCAACTGGATTATACTTAAAGGGTTACTCCAACCACCATGACCATTTCAGCTAGTTACAACCTGGCACAAGTGACTTTCACAGCCTAGAACTCTGTACCTGCAAGGGATAGCATGTATTTTACCTCCCTCACCAAGTTGAACCCTCCTGCCTCCCTATACCCGTAGTAATACTTGGTTTGTTAGTTGTTTAAAGCCTAATCTATCTCTCCCAATGTCCCACCACTTGGAGGCTAAGATTGCACGTGTGCTTTATGAGCCAGTGAAACGTTCCAATAAAAAAAAATCTAAAAAAAAAAACAAAAAAAAACTTGGAAACTGGTTCAATTAAAATTTTAAAATTTAGGGCAAACTAGGCAAATTACAAAAAAACTCCAATTTATAGTTTCAACTTGGCTGTTTTGAGCTTCTAATTTTTTTAAAATTACTTTAGATTCACAGTTATTAATACATGGCCCATGTATTAAAACCTTTCAATATATTACATTTATAAAACAAAGAATTAAACATTATATTCACCATTTGTTGATTTTTTGTTTGTTTTTTCAGATCGGAGAAAGTGGATGAAATTATTAAAGAGTGGGAAGGTTCATTTTTCAAGGACAATCCCAAATTAAGAAAAAAATCTGTATCTTTGAGGTTTGATCTCCACCTGGCCGCTGCTGATGAAGCATGTGTGGAAACCAAACCAGATGAACTACCCGACATAGAGGTCCGGTTAATAATGAAAAGATCCTGTAGCATTCCATCAATGAGTCCATGAGTGATCTACAACTATACCATGAATATTACATTAAAAAGAAATTAACATCATAACATTTTAGAATAAGGAGTCATTTTAATAAGAATGATAGAAACCATAATCTGCTTAAATATCTTAGGTAAACCCTAAATATTACATTAAATTAGAAAGACTGCTTTGAAGCAGTGATGATTTACTTAAAGGGACACTATAGTCACCTGAACAACTTTAGCTTAATGAAGCAGTTTTGGTGTATATAACCAGCAGCCTCACTGCTCAATCCTCTGCCATTTAGGAGTTAAGTCCCTTTGTTTATGAACCCTAGTCCCACCTCCCTGCATGTGACTTGCACAGCCTTCCATAAACACTTCCTGTAAAGAGAGCCCTATTTAGGCTTTCTTTATTGCAAGTTCTGTTTAATTAAGATTTTCTTATCCCCTGCTATGTTAATAGCTTGCTAGACCCTGCAAGAGCCTCCTGTATGTGATTAAAGTTCAATTTAGAGATTTAGATACAATTATTTAAGGTCAATTACATCTGTTTGAAAGTGAAACCAGTTGTTTTTTTCATGCAGGCTCTGTCAATCATAGCCAGTGGAGGTGTGGCTAGGGCTGTATAAACAGAAACAAAGTGATTTAACTCCTAAATGACAATGAATTGAGCAGTGAAATTGCAGGGGAATGATCTATACACTAAAACTGCTTTATTTAGCTAAAGTAATTTAGGTGACTATAGTGTTCCTTTAACTCTAGGTTCATTTTTGAACAAAAGTTATAAAATAAGGGGAAACCTACTTAAAGTGGCACTGACATTCCACCCAATCAGCAGCAGACCCTCCCTCCCAGGAAGTGTCTGCTGGCTGTGAGGTTCCAGGTCAAAGTTTACTCAATGATGACGTGTAGGGGGCGGACCGGAAATTGGATATGTTCGCCCAACGCGAACATGCTATTGTTCGCCGGTGGACAGTTCGCGAACAGTTCGGCGGACAGTTCGCGACATCTCTACCCACAATGTGACAGTGCCACTTTAAAATAACGGACATTAATGAAAAATTTTGAATCATTAGTCTATTGAAATAATTATGATTAAATGTTCCAATAAAAGATTTTTTAAGGTCTTTTATAAATACTGCCTGAAAATATAGATCAATATAAGCAGGGAGAAAAATGGAGAGCAAAAATTCTGATACATTTAATTTACGAGAATGCAATTATTTGTAGAATATAACATAATAAAATTGTCTTTATTTTTAAATATTTGGTACAGGGTTTTGAAGATTGTGTATACGTTGCACATGCGTCCCTATGCAAGTTGGCAAGATAACTCATTTAGTTAATGTTATAACTGTATCAGCTGTTTAAACCTCAAAGTCTTCTGTTTGGAATCTGATGTTGATGCAATTAAAGGAACACTCTGACATTACGGCCTGTTTAGATGCAGTCCTCCCAGAAGTAAGTTCCCTGATGCTCCAGTCGCACTCTAGCCGCCAGACCTCCGCAACTGTGATCAACTTTACAGATGATCTCAGCCAATCCAATGCTTCCTCATAGTGAAGTGCTGGAGTCTAGTGCACATGCACGGCTATTGTTGCACTGCCCCAATCAGCATCTCCTCATGCATCTCTATTGGGAGTATACAACATCACCATGCAGAGCATGGAGATGCTGAACTACGGTACTGCATAGATTGCAGGACTGTAACCAGGAAGCCCATCTAGTGGCTCCCAGAGTGACAGCTACTAGAGTCGACATTAGGCAGCAATGTAAACGCTGCACTTTGCACATGAACCACTGCATTAATGTGTAGTGGTTCTGGTGCTTAGAGTGTCCTGTTAAATTAAAGGAACACTATTGTGTTAGGAATACAAAGCTGTATTCCCAAGACTACGGTGTCCTTCCAGGCTCTGCGGCGTTCCGTCTATGAAAGGGTTAAACACTCTGTTATAGACTACCTAATTCCAGCGCAAGGTTCCTTGCCACAGGATTGGGCTCCTCCAACACCAGCGCAATACAGGAATCTAATGTGCATGCGTGGCGAGTGACGCAAGCATTGGGCCTTCCCTATAGTAAAGCACTGACACAATGGTTTCCTATGGGGTTTTTGAAGATGCTGGACGCCCTCATGCAAAGTGCGGAGTTGTCCAGCATCGTTTTATGGAGTTAAACTGTGAAACTGCAGTAAGCACCTCTATTGACTGTCTGGTAGTCAACAACTAGAGGCCGTTTTAAAACTGCAATGTTTTACATTGCAGGATTAAGGGGACAGGGACACTGCACCCACCACTTCAGTGAGACGAAATTGTCTGGGTGCCTATAGTGTCCCTTTAAGTAATATCTTTTATTTATCTGCTGATGATTGGGCTAAATCTGAAAGTGTTTTGTTTGTGAATTATTATTTTTATATACGTCTAGTGCATACATATCGTGTCCTGTTTAAAACCACAGTTTAAATTAATTGAATCTAATCCATGCTATGCAAAGATCTGTGTTGTCCTTGAATGTAAATATTTAATCAATATATTTGACATCCACAAAGCCTTATTTATTTTACTACATTATTGCCACACTTCTCTTCAAAGAAAAGTACTAAAAGGTATTTCTGTGGTTCTATGCAATGTTTTACTTTAAAATATTTTGTTACACGCCACACCGAACCACAAAAAAAATATATTATTTCCATTGCAATTTTTCTTATAAACTTTCAACATATTCTGCAGAACTGACAACAGAGAAATTGAACACATTTGCAACCACACAAACAAATTTGACATGCAGGTTGAAAAGGGCCATGCTAAAACAAGCTTACATTAGAAATGAAATTGGATTACCAAACTCTAAAGGTATAAATGCAATATACTGATATATACAAATGAATAACACACGTGTTCACCATAGTGGGAGGGGGTTAAAAATAAAATAAAATTTACCCTAATACAGGAATAGATTGTAAGAAGATCCCTTGTTCTCCTTTACATACATATACAAAAATACAATCTAAAAATGGAAATAGAGAGAAATAGCAGGTAATGGTGTAGAATCAATGTCACCAAACAAAGTGCTGAGTAGAATTGCACTCACAAAATAATCTTTGACTGCAGGCACATAAAATATTAAAGATGGAAGGAACTCAGTCCTCTTCTCTTTCTTCCTTAAAAGGGGTTTAAAACAGAGAGACACAGAACATAGTGCATCAATAAAAATAAGATGTATGTAATTTATTATAGATTGCATTCACAGGATATTTGTAAAATTCAGCTTATCACAATGAAGTCTCTGAACTGACTGTAACGCTTCCAGATGTTCCTTCCGATCAGCAAACAGAATAGGATAGCCGAAAAAATATACAAACAAACATTCTTGAAAATGTAGAAAGAAATGGAGTTCTGCGCACCCAGTTTGGTTGTGCACACCCAGGTGCTACTGCCATTTATTTGAGCACACAGGATAAACAGACGTTCTGGGCACAAACTTGATTTCAATTCATTCTGTTTATCCTGTGTCCTCAAATTAATGGCAGTAGCACCTGGGTGTGCACAACCAAACTGGATGCGCAGAACTCCATTTCTTTCTACATTTGCTGAAATACTGTTGGAACTACAGTAGGCGACTCTGCAGCTCAGGTTTTATTACTTTTTTTGTACCAAAACTGTGTAGGCAGATAGTGCCTCTACCTCATTCTATGCATAGTGAGCCAATGTTCTTGAAATGCAACTCACTCTGATAATTGGCCTAGCCATCAGTTGAATTCAAAGAATTCTGAGAATTATATGCTATCAACAAAGGTTAAGTGTTAAGTTAAAGGGATCCTATAGTGCCAGGAAAACCAACCCGTTTTTTCAGAGTCCCAACACCCGCTGGGATGAAGGGGTTAAAGCCACTTACCTTCAGCCACTTACCTTAATCCAGCGCCGGGTTCCCTCTGCGCTGGTGACCTCTCCTCTCCCTGTCGACTTCAGAGCCGCGCGTGCATTCAAACCGCCCACAGGAAAGCATTACTCAATGCTTTCCTATGGACGTCCAACTGGAGTTCAATTTTCACACTGAGAATCGCGGAAGCGCCTCTAGTGGTTGTCAGGGAGACAGTCACTAGAGGCTGGATTAACCCTCAGTGTAACAAAGCAGTTTCTCTGAAACTGCTATGTTTACAGCTGCAGGGTTAACATCTGGCGGACCTGGTACCTAGACCACTTCATTGAGGTGAAGCGGTCTGAGTGCCTAAAGTGGTCCTTTAAGTGTTAAGATCCATTAAGATCACTGAATTAGTCAGACAACAAATAAGCTAAAGACAACAAGAGTAAAAATATTTGCATTGTGATCAAACCCTAATGAAGCATTTACTGGCGCAAATAGTGATGCAGATGTTAGCAAATAACATACTTACTTACCACTGCAGGACCTCGGCAAAGAATTGCTCCTGTGGGTAGAGCTCAGCCAGGGCTAATGTACTTTACATGGCATGTCCTGGCTATGCTTGGCATGGCCTGGCATGTCATTCAAATGAAAAAATAAAAATAAAAAGCAGAATCCAAACCTAACTTACTGTTAGCTATTAGGTTGCACAAAAATATCAGAAGTCACAGTTCCACATTAAAAGGTGTATCTATTGTTGTTTTGTTTTTTGCTGTGTTTTGTTTACTTGCTAAAAAGTATGCAAAAAGATTCTAAAAATGGAACCTAAATCTGTAAACCAGGGCGCTGAACAAAATCAATTTATCAGTCAAGAGCGGCTTCAACACTTATGTGGGCCCAGCCACACACCAGTATGTGCTCCACTTAGATACTGGTGTTTGGCTGTAACATCTTGGCACTCGGTATTATTATTATTATTGGTATTTATATAGCGCCAGCATATTCCGTAGCACTTTACAATATTACCAATGGGACAATTTAACAATAAATGAGACAATTACAAAAACTTACAGAAACAATAGGTTGAAGAGGGCCCTGCTCGAACGAGCTTAGTCTATAGTATATTTGTTTACTTGCTCTCTGTCTTTATAGCACAATGTGGATATGTATTTAAATCGGATGCCCAATATTTATTTATATATTGTGCCTTGGGAAGAGACTGAAGTGGTCTGCAAAGCTTACACTCTAAATCTACTTATTATGCGCACAACATAACTTTACATTTTTTTTGTATTCATGAAAGTGAACCACAAATATATTTACTGATTTTAGTAGGGAAAAATCTTAGCTGAGCATAGCCCTCACCGCCATCTGTCTCTGTAATCCAGAGCGAGTAAGTGTTCCATTCACCCGTAGTGTCGGACTTGTCATCAACAATAATTATGGACACTAATAATAAATTCTAAAATAGGAAATAGAATGTTAAAAAGCAGAAAACTTGTATATCTATGGAATCTGGATTTTCTTTAAACTCTTCTAAATAGTGATTAAAAAAACAAACAACTAAATAAAGAACAGTTGTCTTGGCAACAGTTATTTATATAAACTAAAATAATATAAAATAAAAAATAAAAAAAAATAAAAAATTGTAGTGCAATGAACAAACCTGTCCAAATATTCCTTCTGATATATTGGATATTGTGCAATGAGTTTTTCCCTAGAAATTTTATCTCATGGACGTTCTCCCTTACACGGCTCAATGACGGCTGGAGGGAATTGGCTTTATCTATGGAGGATCCCGCTGTTTCCTCCATAGACCTCAATGCTATATTCTTTAGTCTACTGAAGAACCAGGAGCTGACAGATTCAGGTAAGTTGAGCTCACCATTTCCTGCCCTCTCTGGCCACTGGACCCCCAGGGGCAATGTCACCGTCGGGGGTCTTTGCAAATTCTGCAATATAAAAATGATCTAAGTCAGTTTTAATTTCTCATATATGGCCTAAAATTACACATTAGCACCCCAACCAGGCCCACTGCACTTATCGTTTATATTTAAGACTTTTTTTTGTTTATTTTTTTGAAAAATGATACCAAAGTGCATTATATCATAATACCAAAACCTTTTTTCTTGATTTACCTTACCTTAAATAATAATTCCTTGTTATAAAAAAGAATGTATGAAGAAAAAAAAAGTTTACCTATATTTAAACAGATTTTTAGTTAATAAGTCACATAGGAAAACACGAGGAACCTAGGACATATCCAACTGTAATATATATTCCAATATGTTGTATTCTGCAGTTTATCACAGATTAGAATCATATTATAATATAGATAGACCTGGTAAATTGAATATTATTGAAATAACACATAGTATATTAGATTTTTTTTAAATAAATGAGTATTTTATAACTGTAACATGTATATTGCAAAGGCATGCTTTTTTTTTTTTAAACCTCTTCAGCATGGTTGATGCGAACAGATTATATATATATTCTGTTATTTAATTATAAGAATTAGATGATGACTCATAGCACCTGATAGGATGGTAGGTAGTACATGAAGATGGTGTACCTATAGAGAAGAGCTTCAGGTAAGTATATCTACCGTTCATTCTCCCCCAAATGCCACCATGCAATCTGACGTCATCTGGGGAAAGTCTATGCAAACGCGTACGTTTGCTTTAATATATCCAATGTTTTGTTGTACATTAAACATTTTTAGTTCTGAAACTATCCAAAATTCTACTCAAACTTTGGACTAGGATTGTTTATATTTTTCATCCACACCTTGTTCATTTCTTTTTTTATATATATAAGCTTATACTTTTCTTTTTCATTAGCTTTCATGGGCTATCAAACTATTAATTTAGTCTGTTGTGAATTCATATCCTTGTTCAAGGGCTATGTATCTTTGTGTTCATCCAGCATAATGAATGTACATAATGAGGTGTGTTAATTTAATTATGTATACTGAAACTTTTGAGAGGTTGCTGTTTAGTAACTAGGCACTGTGAACAACCTAACCACTACAACTTGCAGTAGTACTGATGTTACCTAGGGGTGCCTACAAAGTAGATGCCCGGATGTTTTAGAACTACAAAACCCATGATGCTTTGCAAGCCTTTAGAATGGCAAAGCATTGTGGCAGTTGTATTTCTAAAAGATCTGTGTATCTGACATGTTGGCACCCCCGACCCAAAGTGTCTGTATGCCATCCTCAGGTTTAATGTTAAAATGTTTAGGAACAGTCAGATACAAACCAGGGTTTTTACAAGTACCTAGAGATTGCCCTCTTCCAAGATTAACATGTTCCCAGCACACTCAGACAATCAATTTCATCTAGGTTGGACGCAATTGACAATGATAATGTGTTAATTCCATATTATTGATGTGGAGGGGGTGGAATCCATGCGCTGAGGACATCTTCAGTTTATGCCACACCATTCGTAAACAATTTAACACTAAACAGGGGGACTGCGCCCAGATACTCTAGCCAATAGAACCACAGCAGCAAGTTGTAGAATTTATATTGCTATATAATACTAATTTTCATGTCAATGCACCTTGATCTTTGGTTAGCCAGAGTTACCAACAGGCAACAGTAGTAAGCAATGAAAAACACAATCACATGTCATCTAACAGAACTAAGAATATTGCCTCCTTTTAAAGAAACATGAATCAATAAAGTATTGTGTTATTTTAAGCATTCCTGGACTGCTGGTTTTATCGTCTTGTTTTATCTTTGTTTTTATGTTGATCTTTGCAAAATATTATCCATATATTGCGGTGTCTGATCTCATTGATAGGATTTGCTTAGACTAACTCTTTGTGGTGTAACATACTAGTTACAGTCACACCAGGCAGGATGAGATATCTCCCCAAACTTCTTCAACCTTTCCCCAGATTTCTTATTCTTCTCCACCTCTCTTGTCTGGTGTGGTGTTTCTGTCTTCTCTCCAAGTTCTCATTCCCATCTGTTCTCTGCCACCATTCTTTCATGTCTGATGCTTCTGTCTCTTTCCTCATCAGTTTGCTTTCTGTCTTCCTCATTTTGCCCTCCTGCTCAGAGAAGTGTAAAAGGGTTACTTCAACCAAAAGCAGTATTTAATACGAAAAAAAAAGATCTGCGATCTCAGGTCAAAGCCCAGTTCTCCCTACTGGCCTATTTGCCTTTGGTGATGCCATCCCCTCTCTAGATTGGAAGGGACATCTTGAAGACCAGACTTACAGGAGTCTGTGCCGCTACCTCTTAAGGTGTATCTATCGATGTGAGACAAGAAAAAAATCTATTAAGACTTAACTTTTATATAGTTAAATTAAAATTACTGTATGTGCAATAGAATATAAAAGAATTTAAATACAAAAATAAACGGATACGTTTCTCACTTATTTTTGTGATGGGCAGAGGTTCCGGGTACCCAAAGTATATCCGATAGAAACAATATGTATTATATTGTCACTATGTTATGCTTCCAATATTTAGAACAGAAGTAGCTACAGTATGCGGTAGTAACAGACTGACACCTATGGTATACATCGTGTGCTACCCGAGCCCCTATCAGCTGAGAAGTGGAGAGGAAAAGAAAAATATATGTATATATGTAGAGAGAATGGTAAATAGACTGATCTTTGTATTTCGAGGGCACCCCTTACCCAAAAGATCTACTTTCACACTAAGCCACCCATCATGCCCAGACCTAGAAAAAATGAAAGGCTAAATGATAAAGTGGAAGTAGAGAACTAATCCGTAGTCTAAAACAGAGGTAGCTACAGTATCAGTTGCCACGGCTAGATATGCGGTAGTTACAGACTGACACCTATGGTATGCTTAGTGTGCTACCCGAGCCCCTGACGCGCGCGTTTTGCCAGTTGACTCATCAGAGGGGAACTGAGCACAGGTAAGTATCAGTGATTTTAAATGTAATATCGTTGCTAATTAGTCAAAGTGGATTTGACTTGTCCAATGGTAATGAGGGGAGGTGTGTCTCTAACAACTCTGAAAATGGAATTAACCCTTAATGATACTATTCAAACTATGTCGGTAAATGCTGATGGATAAAATGGAAAGAAATAAAGAGAAAATGTAAAGATATAATATTGATTTATGTTCTCACAATATACAATGAAATGAAATAAAGTGAAATAATATAAGAAGGATACATAATAAAATGGGGGTTTATATGATAATATGGAGCTGGATAGCGAAATAATTCAGTAGAAGGGTATCCGGTGTGTAATAAATTACTCCAAGTGATGGAATATAAGGCTATGTTACATTAGTATCATATTAATTGATTGTCTTTTACTGCTACCAGATGACCATGTTGTAACATTCAGACTTAAAATCACTGATACTTACCTGTGCTCGGTTCCCCTCTGATGAGCCAACTGGCGAAACGCGCACGTCAGGGTATACCATAAGTGTCAGTCTGTTACTACCACATATCTAGCCGCGGCAACTGATACTGTAGCTACCTCTGTTCTAAATATTGGAAGCATAACATAGTGACAATATAATACATATTGTTTCTATCGGATACACTTTGAGTACTCGGAACCTCTGCCCATCACAAAAATAAGTGAGAAACGTATCCGTTTATTTTTTGTATTTAAATTATTTTATATTCTATTGCACATAATTTTAATTTAACTATATAAAATTAAGTCGTAATAGATTTTTTTCGTGTCTCACATCGATAGATACACCTTTAGGGTTTATTTTTGTTTTGTTTTTTTTCTTTCATTGAATTAACTATTTAGGGGTTACCCCCATTTTTTTTTTCTTGAAACCTTAAGTGTATCTATTTCTACTCTCCTTCTATCGCCCTGCTCAAATTTTCTTTTGAATTGACTGCCTGGAACTCTTGTGCCGGTGGGGGACCATGGCAGTAAAGTTATTTGATTCTATATATTTCCAAAGGAAACACGGCACATACTAACTCCAAGAACCAAGACCACTTTAAATCATTGAGGTGATCCAGGTGCTTGGAGTAACCCTTACGATTCAACAGCAGGTTACCCATTTGGGGTAATCTCTTCATTCCTCACAGATGGATGGTGAAAGAGGCCAAGCAAATGTATGGTTCTAGGGCCCCTTTTTAACCCTCTGACCCTAGGTGTTGCCAGACAAAATGGAGGTTCTGCTAGTGGCAGAGCGTCTATGAGGCAAGCAATTGGGACATGCTATTGATTACACTGAGTCACATATTCCCATAAGGTTGCCAGCTGCCACTTTTAAAATAATGGTGTAGGCACATTTTCACAATGTAAATTGATTGAGAGAAAGGGATGTACATCATTAATAAAATCATTAAGTTTTATTAACTGTAATACATTTTTTAAAACCTGGAATAGAACATATGATGACTGTTGTCCTTTAATTATTTGCCATCTTGGAATCACATCTATGACGCTGACACTTATTAAAAACAAACAAACATATTTTAAGGACTGCTTTCAACCTTTTACAGCCCTGAAGAGTAAGGGTTTGTGGCATACTTTGAGGTGGGTTTTAGACATATCAGTGTGCCGTGGCATATTGTTTGTAAAACACTGATTTAGGAATACAAGTTTATATTCATTCTATAGTGTTCCTTTAAAGCAAGGGGTCCTAAAACAACGGCCCGCTGGCTGAATCCGGCCCGCCAGGGTCCTGAACCCAGCCCAGGGGCCCGGTCAGCGCTGTGGCCGTGCAATACAGCGACCGGGCCCCTTTACAAAATTGCAGCCGCAAAGTAGTGCTGTGAGGAAGTGACGGTCGGTGGTCCTTTACTCCCAGCTCCCTCCATGCGGGAGGGAAGAAAGACAGGCCGTGAGGACGGGAGAGCCACGCCGACTCCCATCAGCCACAGCCACACTCCTGCAAAAAAAAGAGAGAAAAATTTGCTGTGTGTATGTATGTCAGTGTTTGTATGTATGTCAGTATGTGTCTATCTGTATGTAAGTATGTATGTCTGTCTGTGTGCATTTATTTCAGCATGTATGTCTGTCTGTGTGCATGTATTTCAGTATGTATGTCTGTGTGTGTGTATGTATGTATGTGTATATCTGTATGTATGTCATTATGTGTGTATGTATGTCTGTCTGTGTGTATGTATTTCAGTATGTAAGTATGTCTGTGTGAGTGTATATGTATGTGTATGTGTTTGTATGTATGTGTGTATGTATTTAAGTATGTATGCATGTATGTATGTCTGTGTTTCTGTGTGTTTGTATGTATGTCTCTGTATGTATGTCTGTGTGTGTATGCCAGTATGTGTCTGTCTGTGTGTCTGTCTGTATGTATGTCAGTGTGTATGTATGTATGTATGTGTATGTATTTTAGTATGTATGTATGTCTGTGTATGTATGTATGTATGTGTGTATATCTATGTCAGTGTCTGTCTGCGTGTATGTATGTCAGTATGTGTCTATCTGTGTGTGTATTTCTGTGTGTATGTATTTCAGTATGTATGCCTGTGTGTATGTCAGTATGTGTTTGTATGTATTTATATGTATGTGTATGTATTTCAGTATGTCTGTGTCTGTCTATCTGTGTGTATGTGTGTCAGTATGTATGTGTTTGTATGTATGTCAGTATGTGTATGTCTGTCTGTATTTCAGTATGTATGTATATGTATGTGTGTATGTATGTCCTTATGCGTGTTTGTGTCTGTATGTATGTTAGTATGTGTCTGTGTCAGTATGTATAGGAATTCGTTCAAATTTTTTTTCAACCTATAGTCAGGCCCCCAACAGTGTCTGAGGGATGGTGAACTGGCCCCCTGTTTGAAAAGTTTGAGGACCACTGCTTTAAAGTGTCCCTGTTTGTCAATTTTAAATGTTTTTCCATGGTAAGGCAAATCAAGAAAGGGTTTTAATTACTTGCTTGCTATAGAACAATGGGTGTTGATCCATTTTCTATATTTATTTCTTTCCCCACCCCCGAATTATAAAATACAAAGAGTGAACCAAAGAAATATAAACATGGCACCAATTATATGAAAATAGAAAATAAATAAATACTGTCACATGATTTTCTCTCTTTATATATTTATTTTCCAATGCTTTTATTGAATTAAAAAAATAAATATATATATATATATTTTTTTTATTATTATACATTTTTTTAAAGGGGAAAGATACCTCCAACATCAATGTATTTGTTCATTTGACAACTGAACCATGGAAACATGTAATTTTACTATTTTTATAAACTGCTCTCTTTTCCCAGGCCTCAAACAAGTTTCATACATCAGACACAAATGTAGATTCCACAAACTCCGCCCCCCAATCAGCCGTTCTGTTGTAGAACTACGTCTCCCGTGATCCTTTGCCAGACTTCATCGCAGTCGTTCAACAACAGCGAGGATTCGCAGATTCGTCAGATTCAATAATTTGCACTATACGCTAGACAAAAAGAAAAAAATTAGCTAAAATATACAGTAAGCAAAAAAAAAAATTGCCTCCAAAATTATAATTGCCACACGTAAAAAAAAATATATATATATTTTTTTTTAAATTGACGTTAACGTTTTTGTTAGCTTGCGTCGTCGGTAGCAGTGTGCTTGCCGTGTCGAATGTGCGGCAGCGGAAGTGGAGGCTGAGAGGGAGCGATAGCTGGTGGTTCCTGTGAGAGGAACAAAGGAGGAGGAGAGCGGAGAGCGGGCGGCGAGGTGAGAGGATTGAGGGGAGCTGGGCTGGGGGGGGATTGAGGGTGTCGGATGTGGGGGATTGAGGGTGTCGGATGTGGGGGATTGAGGGTCTCGGATGTGGGGGTGTATTATGGGTGAGCGCCTGTGTTATCAGGAGGGTTACCGGCACTGCCTGCTGCAGCTCTCAGCCGAGCTCGGGGATGGGAGGCCTAGTGTGCCGGGTCTGGGTCAGTCAGTCAGTGTGCGGGGTCTGGGTCAGTCAGTCAGTGTGCGGGGTCTGGGTCAGTCAGACAGTGTGCGGGGTCTGGGTCAGTCAGTGTGCGGGGTCTGGGTCAGTCAGTGTGCGGGGTCTGGGTCAGTCAGACAGTGTGCGGGGTCTGGGTCAGTCAGACAGTGTGCGGGGTCTGGGTCAGTCAGTGTGCGGGGTCTGGGTCAGTCAGACAGCGTGCGGGGTCTGGGTCAGACAGCGTGCGGGGTCTGGGTCAGTCAGCGTGCGGGGTCTCAGTCAGCGTGCGGGGTCTCAGTCAGCGTGCGGGGTCTCAGTCAGCGTGCGGGGTCTCAGTCAGTGTGCGGGGTCTCAGTCAGTCAGTGTGCGGGGTCTCAGTCAGTCAGTCAGACAGTGTGCCGGGTCTGGGTCAGTCAGTGTGCGGGGTCTCAGACAGTGTGCCGGGTCTGGGTCAGTCAGTGTGCGGGGTCTCAGACAGTGTGCGGGGTCTCGGTCAGTCAGCGTGCCGGCTCTCGGTCAGTCAGCGTGCCGGCTCTCGGTCAGTCAGCGTGCGGTGGTCTGGGTCAGACAGCGTGCGGTGGTCTGGGTCAGACAGCGTGCGGTGGTCTGGGTCAGACAGCGTGCGGTGGTCTGGGTCAGACAGCGTGCGGTGGTCTGGGTCAGACAGCGTGCGGTGGTCTGGGTCAGACAGCGTGCGGTGGTGTGGGTCAGACAGCGTGCGGTGGTCTGGGTCAGACAGCGTGCGGTGGTCTGGGTCAGACAGCGTGCGGTGGTCTGGGTCAGACAGCGTGCGGTGGTCTGGGTCAGACAGCGTGCGGTGGTCTGGGTCAGACAGCGTGCGGTGGTCTCGGTACATACAGATCAGATAATGTGCTGGGTGAACCATCAGACACCGTGACTGGAGGAACATTGTATATTATCTATATATTATCTGGGTCTCCTATGAGAATATGTACTGCAGGGCTACATACAGATCAGATAGTGTGCTGTGTGAATGATCACAGATACTGTGACTGGAGGAACATTGTATATTATCTGGGTCTCCTATGGGAATGTTTACTGCAGGGCTACATACAGATAACTAGTGCTCTCCTGGGTGTATCTCTCCAGCAGTCCCACTGAGGCCGGCCTGCCAGATCTACCATGGCTTTCCTGGACACACACACACAAAGGGCTATTCACTAAGGCAGGGGTAGGAAAACTTTGGCACTGCAGATGTTGCAGACTATATCTCCCTTAAAGGGACACTATAGTAGCCCAAAACCACTACAGCTTAAAGCATGGGTCCTCAAACTCCGGCCCCCCCAGATGTTGCTGAACTACAACTCCCTTTGATTCTCTGGCTATCTATGTAATTCAGAGAATCATGGGAGTTGTAGTTCAGCAACATCTGGGGGGCCGGAGTTTGAGGACCCATGGCTTGAAGGGACTCTGGTCACCATAGCAACTTTATCTAAATTAAGTTATGGTGCCAGGAGACCCCCCCTGTGCATTGTTACCTTAAGTTTTCTAAATGTTTAACCCCAAAGTGTGCCTCCATCCGGCTTGTAAATCTTAGTTATGTGCAGGCAAACATACCATTTTTTTTAAAGCAAGGGGAGCGACTGATTGGGTTAGAGCAGGCTTCCCCAAACTCCGGCCCACCAGATGTTGTTGAACTACAACTCCCATGGTTCTATGAATGAAATAGGCTGAGAATCGTGGGAGTTGTATTTAAGCAACATCTGGAGGGCCGGAGTTTGGGGAAGCCTGGCTTGGAGCATCAGTTAACCACTTGATGCCAATCAGTGGTGCCCATGCCCACTGGCACTCCACACTTCCTGTAATGTAGTCTCTCTTCATGCTTTTCATTGTAAACACTGCCTTTTTCAGATATCAGGCAGTGTTTATATTGCTGCCTAGTAATGGGGCGGGAGGGGGGTCGAGTGGGGAACCTAAACTGTTTCTCCAGCACTATAGTGTAAGGAATACATGTTTATATTCCTAACACTATATTGTTCCTTCAATGCTCTTACAGCCATAATCTTGGAAAAGCATAAGGGGAGATGGAGTTCACAACATATGGAGTGCCAGATGTTGCCTATCCCTGCACTAAAGTGGGAATTGCCAGAAAAAATAATAATTTGAAATTCACTTTGAATTTTCAAAATTTTGCCATAGACTTTGGCCCTAATTTAATGGTTAGCACAAGAAAAGCCTACAGGATGTAGAATTCAAATGCTGGAGGTAGGAAATCACAAGTCATTAATGGCTGGGAGATCCTGCAGCATATGAATTTGACATCTCGCAGGGCAGCAATTCTTATAGGATGCCCTTTTATTTGAAGTGATGCATGCAAGGGAATATATGGTGCTGCATCCCATAGCCCTATCCGTAATTAGAAGTCACAGTATTTGTAAGTCTGCGATTTTGTATAGAGTACATAGTTAAAGGGACACTACAAGCACACAGACCACTTATTGCCATTGAAGTGGTCTGGATGCCAAGACACTGTCCCCTTAACCTTGCAATTGTAATCATTGCAGTTATTGAGAAATTGCAATAATTACATTGCAAGGTTAACTCTACTCTAGTGGCTTTCTACCGGGTCCTTAGTGATCATTTGGTCCACTATATGACTCTGGACGTTCTCACGCTTTGCAGGAGGACATCCAGTGTCAGCTAAAACCACATAGGAAAACAATGATACAAGACTTCCCTATGGGGTAGTCCACATGCGCATTAGGGATCGTTGGCAGAGGTGGAGCTTGACCCAGTGCCGATGGACATTGGCCCTGGAATCAGTTAAATGACACAAGGGGTTTTAAGCCTTTCAGCGTTACGGGGACCTTGTGTTCCTAGCATTATAGTTTCACTTTAAGTACAGTGCTTTGTTTGGGTTATGGTTGTTTTACATATAGGGACACTCCAGGCACTATAGCTTTTTCAGCCTGCTATAGTGGTTATGGTGCCAAGAAGTGCTTTGTCGCCCTCTGTTTAATTGGTTTGACAACTTACCTGGGGTACACCAGTCACTTCTTCCTCTGGAGCCCTGATGCTCTTGCAAGTAGTTTCTGTAATGTCCCATGGCTAAGCCTTGTAGTGCAGGGCAGATTATTGGCTATTATTGGAGCATTTTGAGCCTAGAACTGTTGGCTGCAGAGAAGTTATGACCGCCAGATTCCAGGTAAGTTGTAAACCCCTGTTACCATAACCAACTACTGCACACTGAACTGCCTTATGGGGGTGAAGGTAGAATTAAATAAGGTACCTGAGCATGTACACAGAGGTCATGCTTGCTACCACAGCTGCGGGTTGGTGCATGGGCATCTGGTTTCATTTGTTGAGGCAGCCACTTTTGGAGGACCCAGAAGAAAGCTTCAGGTAAGTATATATATTATCCTGCACTATTGATGTTTAATGGCACAGCAAGTAAATTAAAGAAAACATGTCATGGTAGACACACCTAAGTTTAAAAATCAAACTGTAGGCACACTAACCATTTTGTCTCATAGAATTGGTTATAGTGCCGGGAGTCTTCAAGCACTGTACCTCCATTCAGTGTCAGAGCATTTAACAATGAATGAAGTACCCTGGCCATCCACAGGCTGACCCCTACTGGAGGTAATAGCCTGAAAACGATCAGCAGCCACCCATTGCTGTTCAGTGAAGATGGGCTGCTGGGACCCTCATTTACCATTGAATCATTAAAGGAACACTGTAACATTAGGGATACAAACCTGTATTCCTTAATACAATGTAGTCCTTGTCCCTAGTGGTATTAAGGTCTCCCCTCTCCCATAGAGGAACATTGGGGACCTAATGCGCTGTGTGTGCATTCAAGCTTCCCCATAGGAAAACATTGAATCAATGCTTTCCTATGGGGGCTTCCACTTCATGTGACCAAGATTTAATTTAATGCAGATTAAATGCCTCTTCTGGCTGCCATTCTGATGAGTGAAACATTTCCATTTCTAATAAACTGTTTTACATTGCATTGTTAGAAGGACAGGGCCACTGCATCCAGACAACTTCATTAAGGTCAAGTGTTTGGGTTACTATAGTATCCCTTTGCATATAATTTAACATTGAACGGAAGGACGGTGCCCCACCCGGGCTGTCCTTAGCATTAGATGTAAATCTAAGTGTATTGTGAAGGGCAATGAAACCACTCGTATGAGGTCCTCCTCTCTGTGTTACTCCCCCAGCAGGTTTTTATCACGCTTGCAGGGGGGCTCTAATACCCAATGTGCTAGTAGTGATGCCAACCAGCGGTATCATTCAACAGGATTTCTTTGCAGAGGGTGAGTGTTACAACAGTGGAATCCCTATGCACCTCTGAGAATTGCAGTGCTGAAGCTAGATGGAGCAGGTGAGTGCTAATATAACAGCTCCCAAAGCATAGAAGTATATAATTTATCAGTTACATGAATGTACTGCTTTGGTTGTTGTTACGTGTTAAAAGAACACTCCAGGCACCCAGACCACTTCTGCCCATTGGAGTTGTGTGGGTGCCAACTCCAATCACCCTTAACTCTCCACGTGTAATTATTGCAGTTTTTATAAACTGCAATAATTACCTGGAAGGGCTAAGCCTTCCTCTAGTGGCTATCTATCAGACAGCCACAAGAGGGACTTCTGGGTTCTTAAAACACTGAAAGCTATGCATGCGGACCTCCAATTTCGCTGGATTCCCCATAGTCACTGAAGGTTTTTTTGTTTTTTTTACCCCTTTTAGCAACATGGGATGGGGGGTGGGAAGGAGCAGGACACTGCAGGATCCTGCATTGCCAGGAAAACAGGTTTGTTTTCCTGGCACTGGAGAATCCCTTTAAGTTTAAAGCGAATCTGTCATGAAACTGAAATGTTTGTGGAAGTTTACTTTATTACATTTTACAGATTTCATAGCAGGATCCATCTCACTGCATTCAGTTTTGTTTTTTGGAGATCCCAGCCGATTCTCTCTTTTAAAAAAAATGTTTTTTAACCTTTTTATTTAGTTGGTTACGACCAAAGTGAGCCAACCAACATTCTTGAATGTTTCTCAGTTTGTTAGAACACCTGGAAGCAGTGTGTAAATTTAATTAGCCAAACCGCTCTGTCTGTTTTATGTTTGTATGGTTTACGCAAATGTAAACTACATCTACTATGTTGGGGTGAAATAAAATACCTAAATTTCCTTAAAAATATTAAGTTCATTAGACCATAAATCTGCTCAGTAGATCCAAAAGTTGCTTTACAAATGTCTAGAGACACAAGCAGTCAAAAATGATGTAATTTGCAGCTTCTTTTTCTAGCCCTTTTCATTCATTTTAGGTGTGTGCACCATATGCACCCTAAAAAGAGCAAGACAGTGGTCATGCATGCCTGATTGCATCTTTAGCGATTTCTGCACACAGCAAGGCTGTGTCTAGTGCAGACATAGGCAACCTTCGGCACTGCAGATGTTTTGTACTACACCTCCCATGATACTTTTCCAACATTATGTTTGTAAGAGCATTATGGGGGATGTAGTCCACAACATCTGGAGTGCCGAAGGTTGCAATAAATAAAAGCTGCAGTATGATTGTTGTTGGTTTGTTAAGCAATTCCACTCACCCTACATAAATGGTTGAACTGTGGATTAGATAATTGCTTATTTTATGAATTCCTTATTGATTATGGGATAAGATCAGACCCCATTGACCATAACACACGGCTGTGTTACTCTGCAAATCTCCTCTTAACAGTGAATATCACTAGTCTGCATTCAAATACGCAATATACAATCCACATCACAACACATAGTAGCAACTGTGGCACTTTATATCAGCATAGAAGAAAGATTTTTAAATAATCATAATGACAACAGCATGATTGACGTTTTAGGCTGGTATATATAATCTTCCAAATCAAGCCAGCACTCAAGGACTTTTAATCCATAGTCACCGTTTCAGTTTACAACAGCAAACTTTCATCAGGACATCTGAGAGGAAAGCTGGAGTGCAAATCTACAAACTGTGTATATATATTTATATATATAATTTTTTTTTTTTTTCTGGTTAATGCAGGAAGAAATGTGCTTGCTTTTTTGTCAATAATTGATGTTCTAGACTGGTTAAAGGTTCCATGGATATGTGCGCCTGTGCATTTCCTTACTGGTTTATCGCTGTCTCTTTGAAGAGGAAGGCAAGGAGGTTGTACTAAGGGCTTAGTATTTATGTAAAATCAAAAAGCAATAACAGCCTCACACAGATTGGCTAGAAGTCCTGACTTTGCCGCTTCTGCAGTGCGCTCTTGCTAGACCAACAAGTGTATCAGCCAGTAATGATGATAAAATGAGCTGTGGCTGTGCTAAGCTTTTCTATTAAAAGGACTGTTAGACTGTATATAATAATTTCATTAAATCTAAGTTGATATGGTGCAAGGAGGTGCACCGGCACTTTCTTATCTGTAGGGTTTAATAGTATAGAGCCAATCAGTGTCTCCTTGCCTGGCAGCCGTCCGTGCTTTCTCTTACTGAATTTCAAAATCTGGATGTCAATGGGGACAGTGAGGAACTGCGCTGGAGAGCCGACTTTGAGGTTAAACCATTCTTGAATGGTTTAACCCCTACGTGTATAGAAGCCCCAGGGATGTTCTGGTACCATAACAACTTAATTTTAGTGAAGTTGTTATGGTGGCTGGAGTGTTAATTTAAATCACAGCAAAGGCTTCTTGGAGGCTCTTGTCAACGTTCTATTTATAAAGGTTATATTTGTAGCAAATTATATTCTATACCAATGGGGCTGTTTCAGTTATAGTGAACCTGTCATGTAAGGTTTCCTTTAAAAGAACATACCAAAAATCAAAAGCACTACCGCCCCCTGTACTAGTCAAAGCTCCTTACTCTGAAGTCTGAAGCTCCTGCACTGATTTAAGACTGCAGAGAGACCAATGAGCTGACCCTGTACAGTGGAGCTAACAGAAGCACTGTACATGATTCAAATAACGTATTATCAGTATAGTTGTGTCTAACATAATGTCTTTTTTTTTTTTTACAGATTCTATGTGACCATTTTGAAAAATAATCTGCAAAAATGTCGAGTAAGTGACCATTGTGCTTAATTGTCTGTTACCCCACTTGTCTACATGTTTTTTATGTTTTTATTCTGGACTATTGTTTACACTATACCTATTGGTTCATTCAAAATTTAACTCTGCAGCAAAATCTATTATGTATTAATAAGGGGACACGTTTAAAAGTACAGGCAACATAATTTATTCTAAAATAAATTGCTATGTTGCCAGGAGGTCTCTGGCACTGGTTTATGAACGGCTTAACCATCAAGTTTCCTCTCCAGTGTCGGATCGTTCTGTACCCTCCAACATCTGCTTGCTGAAAAGATGCAAAATGGAAGCCTAGGACTTCCAGAAACACAATCGCCACTGCTTGGCTTAGAGCGGTCACTTTCAGCCTTTCATAAAACCGGCTTGAGAAAAACACAGTTGTACGAAATGAGATCCACTGATTTGCTGAGAGCGTCTGCAGACCACTCTAAGCCAAACAGTCCCATGAACCTCGGCAGTCTCAGGCTTCCATTTTGACGTTTTTCAGCAAGTGGATATTGGAGGGTGCAGGGAGGTCCCGCGCTGGAGAGGAGACTTTGGGGTTTAACCTTTCACAAATGGTTTAACCTCTAATGGTAAGCCACATACTTGTTTGCCCCATAACAACTTCAATTTGATGAAGTTGTTATGGTGGCCGGATGGTCCCTTTAAGCATAATAGCCACTACAATCTAGTGATAATGGTACTTTAGCTTATGCTTATTAAAGGTGGCGTTTTGTCCCTAAAGGAACTTAATAGTGCAAATTCCAAACATTACTTGATAATCTTAGTTGAAACCATTAAAGGACCACTCGTTTTCCTGGCACTATAGAGTCTTTAGGTCCCCCCACCCTCAGGGTCCCACTCTCGCCGGGCTGAAGGCAGAGGAAGGGGTTAAACTCTTACCTTTCTCCAGCGCCGGGCTCCCTGGGCGCTGAGTAACTCTCCTCCCTCTTCCGATGTCAGCGCTGAATGCGCACCCACGCGCGCATTCAATCAGTCCACAGGAAAGCATTTCTCAAGGCTTTCATAATGCTTTCCTATGGACGACAGCATCTTCTCACTGTGATTTTCACAGTGAGAAGCGTGGAAACACCTCTAGCGGCTGTCAGTGAGACAGCCACTAGAGGCTGGATTAACCCTATTGTAAACATAGCAGTTTCTCTGAAACTGCTATGTTTACAGCTACAGGGTTAACCCTAGCTGGACCTGGCACCCAGACCACTTCATTGAGCAGAAGTAGTCTGGGTGCCTATAATGGGCCTTTACGTTCTCATGATTCATCAGTATTTTTTACTTTTTTGTGTGTGTGTGTGTTCTCAAGTTTTTCGTGGATTTTGACTTTTTGGTGGTATTCCCCCTTAATTGGGCCCCTAGATCCTGATTTTTGTACTACTGGATGGTGTGACCTTTTGTCATTGTTTCCTACCACTCTTAAGATGAACACACATGAATATCTTTAAGATATTATTTTACCCTACGCTTGCAAATAAAATCCTTAAATAAAAAACGTATTGCACATTCTTTCACTTTTGTGTATGTGCACCCATCCTTTCTGTCAATGTTGTTGGTAAATTAACATATATTTATTTTCTTTTAAATAGAAAGACCATCGTATGCTCCGCCTCCTGCTCCGGCTCCCACAACTGTAAGTAATAAAAGCTACGAGATATTATTGCATTGACATGGCACAACAAATAGGATTGCTCCACACGGAGTGTTTTTTCTTAAAAGGAACACTGTAGCATTAGGAATACATGTATATTCCCAACGCTACAGCTCTGATGCCCTTAATCAATTTGGTCCTGTCCCCCCCACACTGTGCAAAAAAAAAAAAAAATGAAATAAAAAGAAATCAAATTACTCACCTTTTCTGCAGTGCCGAGTCTCCCTTGATGCTGCTGCGACCTCTTTGGTTTGCGTCATCCTAAAGGCATGTCTCCAAGATGATGGGCCATTCCAATTCTCCTCATAGAGGAGCCACAATGCACCTAAGATTCTGCCAAACAGTGATACTCTATCACCAACCATGACGGCACTGCGCATGCATACGTTACGATATGAGAACTGGAAAGTAAGACTCCCGGTTCTCATACATAGAGGGCTTGGAGGCGTGGCTTGAAGCCGCTCTTTTCCATGCCCAGTAATCAGTGCACTAAAGGGTTTTGGGGGGTTACACGAGGGGGGGGTTGGGGGGGTAATATTAAGTGCCGTTTTTTTTTTTTAAAGTATTTTAATTTTATCCCAAACTTGCCTTACAAAATAGGAGCCTCCTCCATAAACAGATACCTTGCACATTTTAAGATTTACAGTTGCATCTTTTACACTCACAAGTTGCACTTCACTTTCATGTGTGGAGACCAATGAAGCAGAAGCGTAAACTGCTTTACCCAGCAAACCGACGTGTGCTAATTTTAAACACATTGTTGTGGATTAAAATTAGATTTTGCCTTTATTTGTAATGGGCAAAACCCAGCTTTGTACAAGTAAAATTCCTCATGCTTGCTTTTCATAAAATTACATGTTCTGTGTCTGTCCAATGCGTGCTGCCATTTTATGTGCTTGCTCTCTTCAAAGTGAAACTTTTGACCAGCACATTTGTTTTGTAGGATGTCCTACTTCACCAGCTTCAACTACATGCCCCTTTTACGAAAATCAGGAAGTCTGCTGCTTTTACAGAAGCAGGAAACAAATTCAATCTTTTAAATATACCCCCAACTGGCTGTTGAAACATAGTGTTACAGGGTTATCAATTAAAAATAAATAAAAAATATATAGTGTATTTACCTATATTCAGAGGCTTTTTCCACCACTTATGTCATCCCAGGAAACAGGAAGAGGGATTTATAAACACATCAATGCTATAATATATCACTATAATAAATGTTTTTAGTTATCTTTCCTTTATAAACAATAGTTGTGCTCAGTAACCCTCTCTACACCACTACCTTACTCGATTTGCAACTGGCATCAATGAGAGAGATCAGATATACCCATTGTACAGCACTGTAAAATGTGTTGGCGCCTTTTAAATCATTTCAGAATTTTATCAAATATGACTAATATTTTTTATTATGGACAACAAATCTCAATTTTGCAGGAATCTACATTCAGTCCCTTGTCAGAAGTGTACAATTCTTATTATAATCCATTTTAGTTAAATTTCACAACTTTTACACATCATTAGCAAACCATTTTCATATGTAATTTTTTATTTTATTTTTTTTTTTAAACTTTTATTTCCTTCACTTTTTAGATTTAATTTTTTTTTTCCTTCCCCTGCTGGAACTCATTTCTCATTCGTGTTTTTTGTCTCATTTGTTTCCATCAGCAAATGCCCAGCACACCAGGGTTTGTGGGATACAATCCATACAGCCATCTTGCCTACAACAACTACAGGCTGGGAGGGAACCCAGGCAGCAACAGCAGGGCCACGGTAGGAAAATCAACTGATATGTCACATGGGGTCTCAAAGTGCAGCTGTACAGGCATTCAGATTGTTTTTTAAACATAAATAGGGTTACAACCACTTGTAATAAATCCAGAATGTTCACTTCTGTAGAGTTTTGTTGTATAAGTGTTCTGTTGTACAAATGGTCAGCTCGATTTACTCCTGCACTCTGTATATACTGGATACTCATCGATAAGCATGCACCTTGAAATATGTCTGGACTTTGTCATAAAACAGTTTTAGATGTTTTTAATGTATAACAGATTTGTTTTTGGTCTTTCCCTCAACTATGTGTTCTTTTTATTTTAAAGAGGTACTCTAGGCACCATAATAACTTTAGATGCAGTAGTGGTTTATGGTGCCAGGACTCCCTGGTGCTTTCTCATTGTTAAGAGTCAAATGGTTTTCCATTTTACAGATATTACTAAAGAGAAAATTCCATCTTCCCCATCAACAATATTAAAAAGACACAATAGACACAATGAGACTGCAGAGGCATAATCTATACACCAAAACTGCATTAAGTTAAAGTTGTTTTGGTAAAGACCAAAGAAAAAGTTGCCTGTGCTCTCTCTTTAATCCCTATGTATATTTAAACAAATGGAGGTCATTTAGTTACTCCAATGGCCACTGGAGGGAATGCCCGTCTGCCAACGTCAAGACAGACCTCCCTAGACGGGTCCTACTCTGACCCTTCACCTTGCTTCCTTGAGCTTCTGGCAAATATATCTCTGAGACAGAAAGGGGTATTTTTTATATACACACCTATATACTTATTAACGCTTAATAGGGAACACATGGGATGGGCAGCAGCATTGCAACATAGCTGTGTGATACAAAAAGTGAATAAAAATACAAAAAGTAAAGTCCTGCGCTAATACGAATACAAAAAGAAAAGTTGTTTTGGTGCCTATTATGTCCTGTTAACAACTGATTAAAATTCTTTCATGCAGGATGTGTCACTCACAGCCAAGGGAGGTGTAGGTGCTGTATACACAGAATGAAAAGTTTATTTAATCCCTAAATGGCAGGAAAATGAGCAGTGAGAAGGCAGGGGCAACCTCTATACACCAAAACTGCTTAAATACGCTAAAGTTGTTTTGATGCCTATTGTATCCCTTTAATTCCACCCATGTTTGGATGTAATTCACTGGCTCAGAGCATCTGCTTACACTGTCAGATAACAAAATCTTTCCAAATATGGATAAAACGGATATATCTAATGTGTTAGGGGAACTTTTTCTTTAGCTATATTTGTAGAGAGGAGCTGGACAGTGGGTGCCCTTAATACCAATGTAATACCTTCTGAATACTGTATGTTCTTAACAGTGAAAGACATCGGGAGACTCCTGACATACTACAGTGAGCTATAGTTGTAATGGTATCAGAGCGCTGTTAAGTTGTTATTTTTACAGTTCATAAATTGGTTAAGTAGGAACGTTCACAGCCAGCTCACTTTACACTTAGTACACAAAGATCAAGAAAGCTGGTGACTTAAGAGTTTAAATGGAGTAGAGAGGGGTCACACTCAGCCAGAAGCCACAGATGGTGCACTTAAACTGGAGGTGGCAAGTTCTTCGAATCATATAAAGCACATGCAATATAGTCTGGGCACACCGCAGCTTTGCCAAATTTTTCATGGCAAGTTCGAAACTTTTCTATCCATGACCGAATAAAACTGTTAACACGAAGTTGTTGGTGTCCAGACTAGATTGAATGAATTTGCTGTTTAAGAGTTGAAATTTCCAGGAATCACATTCAATAGGGTATGTAATCAACCAATGAGTGGTTCAGATACTTATTCCATTGAGTGATGCCAATATCTATTTAACCCCTTCAGGACACATGACGGAAATATTCCGTCATGATTCCCTTTTATTTCTGAAGGTGTGTCCTTAAGGGGTTAATGGAGCAGAATATGTAAATGAATCCTAGTTGGTAAATATTAGCAACCTTTTGAGAAGAACATGTGTTTGAAGGGGACAATGGTGGATAAACTACTAAAAAATAATCTAGTAAAATGCACGTATGGAATGTCCTTCTTTAAGCCAATTGTGACTTTTTCTATAAAAAGGTAAGCAATACCTGCAGTTACATAAATACAGACTGAAAGGGAAGATCCACAGCATTAATCCAAATGTATCAAATAATGAGAAACTTAGTATGAGGATACTTCCACGTGTTTTTAATTGTTGATAATGTCTAATGCTTCTACAAATGTGATGAAATTATTGCTATTATACCTTCATACATGTAACATCTATAATATCTAAAGTTGATGCACCCAAATGTTCTCTGTCGGGGCCAGACCTGGACTTTTTTTTTAAACTTACTTGCACAAAAAGTCGAAGTGCAAACCACAATTAAAGAAAAGGGACATTGTGAAAAATAAGCTTAGGTCTAAACTCCTATGCGATGTGACGCAAGACCTCCATATTTTAATTTGAAAATAATTAAATCTGGAATGTGACTGATTTGCTTCACCATGTTCATCTGATTTGAAGAGGAAAACGATCAAGTATGCACTTTTTTGTTCACTTTTTTTTTTTTTTTTTTACTGTAATTAGAATATTAACAAGGTAACATTTCAGAGGAAAATTCTGTAATAAATATTGCTCAAAACACTATTGTATTATCTTTATTCAAAGATACTTATTTTTGGTCGTTTACACCCTACTTCTTCTATACCTTGTTACCTTCAACGATGCAAACATTTTAAAAAATGCTTATGGTGAGCAGTCATGTTGTTTCTTTAATAACCACCTCTGCTCATACTTTATGCCTCTTAACTCATACACACCACAAAAGCAAAGATGAAAACTTAATGAATAGATAATACTGCATCCTTTACATACTTCTCTGTATGATTAACTGATGTACATACATACAATAGGGGAGCCAGACTCGCTGTATATAAATATACCTTTAAAATTGTCCTGGCTTTTAATGGCAAGCCCTGATTTTTGAGTTTGTGGTCCTCCATCCACAGTAAATGGAAAACAAGGAATAAAAAATCCACTTGTATACAATAGGTTGTTAAGCTTCAGCTCCTTCTGATGAGCACAAACATGAGAACATAGTTTGCTCACTGGCAACTGTGCTAGCTAAAGTAGGCCTGCATTAGCTGACCTGTTTACTGCAAATCTCCAATGTAGCAAAGCATCATGACTTGCTTGGCCATAATATTGGGAACATATCCAAAATTCTTGCTGCATGGACTTAAAGGAACACTATAGCGTTAGGAATACAAATATGTATTCCTTACGCTATAGAGCCTTAGACACTGTTTAGGTGACTAGGACCCCGTTCCACCACGAATAAATGGTTAACCATTTATTTGCTTACCTTAATCCAGCGCCGGGCTCCCTCTGCACTGGTGACCTCTCCTCCATCGACACCAGCTTCCAAGTGGAGCCGAATGCACATGCGCGGCCAGAGGCGCGCACATTCAAACCCATTGAGTAATGCTTTCCCATGGGGATCTTTTTTGACGTTGGATTCCGTGTCGAGTGTCAAATAAGTGCAATTTACTCTATGTAAATCGCAGAAGCGGCCTCTAGTGGCTGTCAGGGAGACAGCTCCTGAAGGCTGGATTAATCCTGCAGTGTAAACATAGCAGTTTCTCTGAAACTGCTATGTTTTCAGCTGCAGGGTTAAAACTAGGGGGACCTGGCACCCAGACCACTTCATTGAGCTAAAGTGGTCTGGATGCCTATAGTGGTCTTTTAAAGGACTCAAGTAACCTATTTACAGAGTGAGCAGGTTAAGAAAGAGTAACTTTTCTTCTATAAGAATCACAAATATTCATGTAACAGGACATATTCTACAAAGTGAGTCTGTATATGCAAATAGACCTTAAACTATGCTGTTTTAAAACTGCTTATTAAATGTTATTTTGCAGCAAGTATTATTACTCATAGTGGGGCATTAAGTGTATATTAGATTTCAAAAGAGAAGATCTTGAAATAAGTATGTAAAATATTAATTGTCACTCTAACCACGAAATGGGGAGTAAATTCAGAATGATTGCAGTACATTCCAAGCACACCAAAAATGTATGCTCCTTGCTTGTTGCATTGACCTCCTATGCCATTACAGCACTGTATATTCTGTTATCAATGCAACAATTTATCTCAATGCACTCAGCAAAAACAGGAATGAAGTCCTTTAGGATGTAAGTAGAAGACATGCTGCATTTTTTTCAAGAAGCAACTTGATTGACTGGGAAATCCCTACTCTAGAAACTCTAGAAACTCAAAATTGAATTTGCTGCAATAAGAGCCACTCGGCCCATCTAGTCTGCCCAATTTTCTGAATACTCTCATTAGTCCCTGGCCTTATCTTATAGCTAGGATAGCCTTATCCCATGCATGCTTAAACTCCTTTACTGTGTTAACCTTTACCACTTTAGATGGAAGGCTTTTCCATGCATCCACTACCCTCTCAGTAAAGAAAATGATGGAAACTTAGTAAACTGATGGAAACTTAGTAGACTTTTACGTGCAATACTGCCTGCTTAAAGAAGCACATGAAGATCAGTATACCACCTATTTTATTTAGATACATTCTGGAGATGCATTGAAAACATCTCACCTGAGTGGCCGCCTTCTCTGTGCAGTGGGATCCTCTTAAACTAGGGATTGGCTGCAATCTCTCAGTTACTCTGTTATGGATTCCTATACGAGCAATGCACGTGTATGGCATGTTTTGCTTCTATTCTTGGTACATCTTGTTATTTTTTTCCCCATTATTAAGTAAATGAGAAAGCATTGTTTGCTGTATTAGACTTGTTAGTTTCTTATTTGATTGAAATGCCACAGGTTTCTGTGAGAAACGTATACTGGAAGCTCCTTTGGTACCTGAATGCAGAAAATGGCAGATTTGGGGTTTTTATTTTTTACCCCCACTTCACCTGTTTCTTTGTACTAAATTCCTCAATCACTTTGTTTATAGGAGCAGGAGAGGATCATTGTACTCTCTCATAAATCAGAGAAGACTTGTCCATAAGTAATACGTTGGGGCTTCCTGAAGTGGAGAATTAGTTCTTGGTATATTGACTATTGTACATAGAGCTGCATTAACATAATGTTCATGTAAGCTCAGTTTCAGCCTCATAACCACGAGAGAAATGTACAAACCCATTGCTTCATTGTCAACAGCTGTCATTCTTGTTACCACAACTGTGGCACAATCTACATTACCACTACAGTGCACTATAGTACTAATGGTGCTCTGGCACCCACAATGTGAGTAGTCAAACCCTTTACTAATGGTTTGACTAATTAACTGGGGTCCACCTATAAAAAAAAATTGGACATTATCTGCGCTGAGCTAAGCAAGATAGTGTTGGGCTTAGCTAATCAGCTGATGCTCTTAGCCCATGAGCTGACCCTGCATAGCAGGGCTTGGATCAGGAAAGCTAAAAGAAGCAAACGGTTTGACTACTTACATTGGTAAGTGGCACCATAACTACTGCAGCACACTGTAGTTGTTACAGTGCGCAGAGTATATAAAGGAAACACATTGGAATTGAGGCATGGTTGCTGTGCAGAGCAACTTCCACTTTTAAACCTTCATCTGATATTGATGAGCAGTCCACATGTTTCTGGTGAGGAGTGTAGGAATCTTAAGTTAACATATTTTACACTGCTAGCTTTATATAGCATGACCTAAAACAAGAAATCTGATGATTGCTAGTTGTAGCAGAGTAGGAATAGAGTTCTTGAGTTGAAAATTCTGTAAATGTTTGTTATTGTTTGACACGCAAAGATCTGAAAACTCTGAAAATGCTGTGCAGTCTCCAAAGCAGTATATGTTTCAGTTTCTGCCAATATGTAGTAAAGAGACACATCTGGATTCATATTGTATTGTAGTCATGACTGCAGTGTAATAATATGTATTAAACATACTTTTTGTCTGTTTCTTTTTCCTTTGTAGGCTTCATCAGGGATTACAATCCCAAAGCCACCTAAACCTCCAGATAAGCCTCTGATGCCGTACATGAGATATAGCAGGAAGGTAAGTGATAAGTTTGGGTTCTCGGTGAGGCTGCTACACATCCCTCTTATATCCTTAATATCCCAAAAGCCCATATATCGCCCCTAAATAATTTTATGCAAAGTAAAACATCAACCATTTAGCTATCTCAATAAAAACCATCTCCGCACCCCAATGTCTCTGAATAGGTCTGGGACCAAGTGAAGGCTTCCAACCCTGACCTTAAGTTGTGGGAGATTGGGAAGATCATTGGTGGGATGTGGCGTGACCTAACCGATGAGGAGAAGCAAGAGTACTTGAACGAATATGAAGCTGAAAAGGTACGAGGTTATAGCTTTAAAAAAAAATAAAAAAAAATAGAGAGGAAAAAAAAAAATTAATAAAAAAATAAAATAAATCCCATTAGAGCCACTCTGTAGGCTTGAGTCGCTGTTTTCTCTGAAGTGTGAGGGTTGCTAGTTTTGTTCACTAGGTCCCAGGCTGGAAAAAAAAAATGTCCGCTTCAACTATGTGGAAGGAGCATAAAAGTCCGTGTTCACTGGTCACTACTTGTTAAGTCCCATTGGGAGTGTAGTATGGCAGTCTGTTCTTTATTTTTGTTCTGTCTGTCTGTTTTTGTTTCAATGATGCATCCCCATTTAGAACCAAATTGAAAGCATAATCAAGATCATCAACTGGACGTGGCCCATGAAACCTATGTTTTCTGAATATTCGGCACAACCCTTTCTCAATTGGGTCCTTCGGGATTACAGTTGGGTCCGATCTAAAGTACACTTTATTGAGAACAGGTTTAATGCCTACTGTACCGAGTAAAGATTACAATTTATTAAGCTAAGCTAAAAATGTCCCTCTGATGGTTCTCATTGGATAACAATTTCCCAGAATCTTAAACAGTAAGTGTGGAAGCTACCAGATATTTCACATCTTTTTTACACCACACACTCTCATATGCTGGCTTCATTTGTTAACTAGCCAGTATAGGTTGTGTATCTATTCACCTGAATAATAGTCACGGTTTTGCATATTATTAATATGGTACCATGCAGTTCTAATGTCACTTCAACTAAGGTGAGGTATTCATCATGGTCATCAACGGAAGAATTACTGGTTGACTATCACTATCTGCACTTATCCTCAGGGTAGCAGTTATACAATAGAACTCATATTAATATTTGTAATGAAGTACCCCCTTCAGCAGTCCCATAGGGTACTTGTATAACATACTGAATATTCTCGTCAATCAACTTATTTATAGGTGTGTTACTTATGTGAATAAGTGCTTTCGTGGGGCATGGTAAGCAGTACCATCTATAAACGGTGCAAGCAACAAGCTTTAAAAGTTCATAAAATTTTAGGTTGTTTTTTTTTGGAGGCTGCAAAGAAATCAAGGTTTCCTGAAGAGGATAGATACTAAAGTGATTGAGATATTGTAAATAGTAAGCAAACGGATGATTTACCAAATGTGGTGAAACTGTGTTTTGTTTTTAATTAGGCTCTATTTGGGGCTGCATCTAAAGTCTAGTTACATGATACATGCAGTGCAGATATATACATTTCATGCAGAGGTGAAGCTTGATGACACCCTTCCTGCTTCAATGTAGATTACATTTTTAACATAAACATGTTTCTCAAACTACTATGGGGAATATAATGCTGAGTAATATAGCTTGTGATGGCAGATACTATTAAATAGTCCCACTCCAAACTTCTTATTGTGAAATGTTAAAGTGCATTTATTTAAATATACAAAATCTTTAGGAAGTACCTTAATTTAAATTTATAATCCCCAAAAATGTAGAAAAATCTCCCCAGTGCGACAACTGCAAAAGCTCATATTGTACCCTAGACAGAGTCCTGCTTGGTTGTCGGAATGATAAATTTAAAGTTGAAACAATGAGTTGTAAATATTTCAAGAATGCATAATCCCCTACTTTAAAATCCATAAATCTCTATTTAATTTTTGTGTGATTAAGTTTTCTTAGATTGCTTTTTCTTCTCAAAGTAAACACTAATAAAGGACATCTGCAAAGATAAGCCTCTGTGGTATCTTCACACAAGGGGTAGACAACAAGATCCCTTCTAAGTTTTGCCAGACTACAACTTCCATGATGGTTTACCAGTTTGCAAGATGGCAAAGCATTATGGGAGTTGTAATTTGATAAAGGCTGGGGGCATCTTGTTGGCTCTTTTGTCTAAAGTATGGTGTCATTTAACTTAATCATACATTAATGAAATATTTTTTAGATGAAATGTGTTAAATTACAGGTTTTCTGAGATTGTTAGTGTTTTGTTTTCTCAGAAAAGCACATTGCTTAAAAGTATGATTTTACATCTATGGATATGTGAAAATCTAGATATTGGTTGTAAACTGTAAGTCAGGGAACATCCATATATTTATAAATAAATAGCATTTTTGTATCTCCCCCCCGCTACACACACTGTTCTGTAAAGTAGTTTTTCATATTCATTATCTCATCCCTCTAACGTCTGTTAAAGTACTACCCTAAGTACTTTGCACATAATGTTTTCACCCAGAATAAAATAGATTGTACATTTCTTGTGACAGCCACGCCGACATCTCCCACCAGAACCTGTGCGCACCAAATAACCTTTTGTAATTTTCTCTGCAGATTGAGTACAATGAATCAATGAAGACGTACCACAATTCACCTGCTTATCTCGCCTACATCAATGCCAAAAGCAGGGCAGAAGCTGCTCTGGAGGAAGAAAGCCGCCAGCGCCAGTCACGCATGGAAAAGGGGGAACCCTACATGAGCATCCAACCTGCGGAAGATCCTGATGGTTAGTAAACCAAAGTGTGCAAAACTGATCGTGAACCTCACAACCGCAACATAACCATCATACATTTTAGTGCAAGGATACTCTATATAAAAATTACAGCCTTTTCTTGTTTTCCCCCTTCATACAGCATACCCTTTTGTGATGGGTTTGGCTATATCGTTCCTGGGTTAATTTCTATAGGAATCTTTATTAAAGGGCTGCTATAACCCTTTCTCTCAAAATTAGCATTTTTCCTTTATTAACACTACTGATCTTGTCCACCCCCTTATTTTATATAAAACCATTTAAATATTTTAAATCTTGTCTCGCAGAGCAAAGTATTTCTCGCTTAGTTTCCACGCCCTGTCTGACATCACTCCTTCCCTTGCGAGGTTCATTTAAATGTTTCTAATAGAGTAGCTTTTGATTGGACCATTTTACTGTCTGAGTGCGCTGAGCAGTTGAGGGGCAGAAAGGCTTTCATTATTGAAAAATAAAACGTAACTGTTAAAACCAGAGGGAGGGGACACTAAAGCTGCGTACTGATTAGACATGTAATTTTTGCAGTTCAGAAAAGGCAAAATCAGGGCACACCATCAAATGGAGAGAAGAAATGGCAAACTTTTTTTTAAATTCTCCTCTCTGTGCTTTCTCAGTGCTGACCGCCAAGTGCAGAGGGCAGCACTTATAACGATTACTGACCGGGACCTAAGATGGAAGCTTCCAGTTGCAGACTAAACTTCTGTGGCTTTCTACATATGCATTTTTAAATATAACAATAGGTAAATGTAATATTAAAAATCCTGGGAAAAGACTGTTCCCTTTTAATATTGTTAATGTGTATACTTTAGCTCCCTCTAGTGCACAGACAGTATACTACTCTCCACTTCTCTGCTGCAATGCAGATTCCCAGCCCAGAATAATCATTTTATTCAGTTTACACACCCTGTTAATAAGGAAACTGATTGTAATAGATAACAATATTGTGATCCATTCAACAAATAGCAGCAGCACACTGTACCCAAAATAATCTCTTTCCCTTTGTGATGCTTGATTTGTCTTCTAGATGGAGTTTTTATTTATTTTAATAAAGGAATAGAACAGATGTAGCAAAATATAACACATTCTGACTAGTCCTTTTTATGTATATTTTGTTTGCGCTCACTGCTAGCAGCAGTGTCACAGCACATCAGTCTCAATGTTATTCCCTGCGTTTACAAGGAATCCTAGGAAGATTACCTGGGCTCCTTTGTGGTATTCTTTGGTTCTTGTGTCTGCATTAACATGCTTTTTAGTGACACCTGGCTGCACAGCAGACATTAAAGGTGCACAAACTTGTTTTCGTCGCACTATAGGATTATTAGGTTACCCCCATCCTGCTGGGCTGAAGGGGTTAGAACCCCTTCAGCCACTTACCTTAATCCAGTGCCGGGCTCACTCTGCGCAGGTGACCTCTCCTCCCCCAGCCAACGTCATCTCCGAATGTGCATGCGTGGCTATTCAAACCGCCCATAGGAAAGCATTACTCAATGCTTTCCTATGGATGTCCTGCGTGTCGTCAATGCGATTTTTGCATTGAGGCTTGTGGAAGCAGCCTCTGGTGGCTGTCAGGGAGATTGCCACTAGAAGCTGGATTAACCCTCAGTGTAAACATAGCAGTTTCTCTGAAACTGCTATGTTTACAGCTGCAGGGTTAAAACTAGGGGGACCTGGCACCCAGACTACTTTATTGAGCTGAAGTGGTCTGGGTCCCTATAGTGGTCCTTTAATGCAGGAGAGCTAACAGAAGCTTCATGCTCAAGCTTTCAGTTCTATATAGAAGAAGTACTTACATTAGGGGGCACCTTGGTACTCTTGACACCATAACCAGCACAGCTCTCTGTACTTGTTATGGTGCTTGAAGTATTCCTTTTAAATTAGCGATGTGCTCCTTTTATTGGTTTAGTCCAGGGCAGGCTTCCCCAAACCCGGCCCTCCAAATGTTGCTGAACTACAACTCCCATGATTCTATGAATGAAATAGGCTGAGAATCATGGGAGTTATAGTTCAGCAACATCTGGTGGGCCGGAGTTTGGGGAAGCCTGGTCTTAGGGTATTTAGGTTTTACTTGACATTTTTTACACAATTCTTGATCCTCCTATTGTCTGCTGCCTATCTCCCACGTTGTTCTGTGCTGACAGGCGTGGCTGAGTCTGTCATTAAGCAATGTACCTGCAGTGTGATGTTCTGGGCAGAGCGCCTACTATGAATAAACAGATTCTTAAATGTTGTCTCTTCCAGTCAAACAGTTTTTTTAAATTAAGCCTGATTGATTTTACTATCCTTTTATACAATATATATCAAACTGCATTTTACACCCAAGTTTCTTCAATCACCCTTTATGATTGATCAACAAATTGAAATGTCCCAGCGATGTCCTTATTATAAAAGTATAGTATTTGGTCTTTATACGGTTAAAAACAGAACAGCGGTTTAAAACAAATAAAGTTAAATTTTTCCTATTTTTTGGGAAATTATTTCACTTTAGTCACACTTTGAGTTTTATGTTCTGATTCCTACCTCCTGTAGACAGTGTGATCTTTACCCACAATCCCTGAGTCTCTTCCTGTTTCATATACGGGCACAATGATGGCTCCATTTGGTACTACAGTTGTTATTGAATCACGTCAACCATGATCTTCAGTGTTTAGAGAGACAGCATTCACACATTTTTTCCCCGACAAGGTTGATCTGCATTAATGTATCTTCACTCTTCAGTCTAGCGGTAATGTCTTTTTGTAAATGGCAACCATAAAATGCACTATAATTTTAGAGTATTGCTCTAAAATGTAGAACTACACATGCAAGAAGTTGTCTACTGCCTCTACGAACAACCCCATTGATTGAGCGCTGTCCTTTTCTTCCCAAAATTCTCCATTCTATACAAAGGTTTAATAATATGTTGTTTATTTGCAAACAACCAGCCAAGGTGGTTATAGAAGAATCACTTCAGATTAGCAAGTTTGATACAAAGCAAGGTCTGTTAGCTTAAATCTTTCCCAAATCAATTAATTTATTACATTTACATTGGGCATAAATAGTATAGTAGCTGTATTGTAAATGTTAAACTTGCTTGTTCTAACACCCGTTCTGTGTCTTACAGATTATGATGACGGATTTTCCATGAAGCACACCGCAGCCGCTAGATTCCAGAGGAATCACCGCCTTATCAGTGAAATCCTTAGCGAAAGTGTGGTGCCTGATGTACGATCTGTGGTAACAACTGCCCGGATGCAGGTTCTTAAAAGACAAGTCCAGTCTCTCATGGTGCATCAGGTACGAAATGGTACATATGACATGGAGGCAGTAGGGGGCTATTTTTAAAGCATAGTATTTATATTATATATATTAAAAATTGTTGTTGTACAGAGTGTTAATTGCTAAATGCAGTGTAGTTCCTAAATATGTTACATTATCAATTCGCTTAAAAATTATTTCATTATATCAAATCTTTGTAATCTGCACTGTGGGGAGTTGTGCATTTGCGGTCTTCGCTTTATTTGGTTGGATCTTAGCTGCTAAAACTGCCGTGGAACAAGCTTTATAAGCTGACAGGGGAGTAGACCTGTCTTAATGCAGACTGCTGCACCTTGTATTGCACAACATGTTCAGGAAGCAGACAGTAGACTTGTCTTTTTTGCATACTGAAATACCCATCAATAATGAGACAGCTAGGAGTAGGCACACTTGGAATTAAAATTGTCTTGTTGTAGGCTACAGCACTTATCTATAGCAGCCTAATATCACAGTGAAGAGCTGGCTGAATCTCATGTGGTAGTGGCTTAAGTCCCCAAAAGACAGACTTGGGTATGACAAGTGAACATAAGTAAAACTGAAGAAAGAGTCTTTTAGAAAATAATTCCCAACATGCAAAACAAGTAAACTATAGCAGTTACTACAGTTACGTACTGATTGTGGATACACAGTCTGAGACAGATTTCAGAGAGTTTGACTTGAAGCAGCATTTAATTGTCTCTCGAAGGTTATTCCATAGTTGAATATCTCATCCCGCTTCCTTGTAATGTGGTAATAGTCCATACTCTTTTTGAGGTTAAGATTAGATTCTAAGAGTTGCCGGCTTCTCAAGTGGAGCAAGAAGCTTGGCAGAGAAAGGGTATCATCCAGGCATGTATTTGCCTTGATTATACCTGTGCTGTCTCTGGTGCTGTGTCCATACAGAATACGGTTTACTTGGCTTTTAGAAGTATAATGTTTTAAAATGCCCATCAATGTGTAGAGTTGCAGTGCTTCTACTACAACCAATTCCACTCGTTAACTGAATATTGCCAACTATTTAGGCTCAATATATGTAAGTCCTATGCTACTAGACAGACCTAAAAGTTTCTTGCCACTGCAAGTCTGAAGTCTATGTCTCTAGCACACTCACAAGAAGTGAATTGCTATTTGCTAGGGGTGAATTATCATTCGCAAGGAGACAAGTGGAAATCTTGAACCCTGTAATGATTATGAAACTATAACATCCAACTGAGTCCCCAGAATCTTAAAGAGAGTTACTGAGCTGCAAAGAGTGCAGATTTATTCAATTTTTTTTTCTAAAACAAGGGAGATTAGATACTCTAGGCTGCATAGCAACTCCATCGGAATGAAGCTTTTATGTGTGATGCAGTTCTGGGTCCCGGGATACCTGAAGGTGTTTTAAACTGTTAATGAAAGATGGTTTAATCCTATAGTCTTCAAGCTGGTGAATCTTTTAAACTGTTCTCAATGGGAAGTTACCTTATTGAAGCTCTGGACATGGAGCAAATGTCCTGTGGCAGACCGATCGTGTTCACTCTGATGATGTTTTTATGGTGTCCACAGTGGTCATTTAAAGCCTGCACATTTCTTTTTTACAATTCCTTAGTTCAAGTATATCAGGGTGCACTGTCTGATATTCTATGGTGAGTGTGAGGCACGTTGCTTTCAGATAGACAGTACAGCATGTTGTGTAATTCCACAATTTTAGAATCGTAAAAAAGAGTGTGCGTTGCCATACTACAACTCAATGTCATCATAATGATGTGATGGGTTGTGCACTCTCCTCTTCCCATATTTTAGACCACTATCGCCTCCCTGATCTAGGTCAGCAACTTTTGTTGATGAGGAGATTTTATGAGGTGTAAAATGCCTGGCGGTGCTTTTAAGCAACTTCAGAGTAGGGAAATTATAATGTTTTCTGATTCTATAGTGCTCCAAATGATGGCATGTTTAAGCACGCCATCATTAGGCTAAAACTAACCTCTCCCAAATCCCCAGGTGTGGCAGTAAGGTGTGACCCACACAAAACGCTTCACATTATGGGGATCTTGCATGAGTCTTGAACAAAGCTTTTTAACATTAACCATTTGTTGAATCTTCTGTCACTAGTCCATACTATTCAAATGCTAACCTAGTATTTCTCCTCTTTTCTAACACTTCAGTAATATGGAAGATTAAATTTGTACGGAGTGGTTAGAAAAAAAATTATTTGCTGATTTTCAACGGACACTCCCAATGCCTAAAGAACGTGAGCTTGGTTAACTGTTTTAGGGGTTAACAGGCAGTACACCTTAACCTTATTCATAAAAGGGCTGATTTCAAGAGCAATTGTCAGTTTTATGACTTGATTTGGGAACGCCACCCAGCAGTCAAGCTGACAGCAAGGTGGGCTTCCTGATTCACCCTGCTTGAACAACTTTTCAAATGGAAATGAGAGCTTCCATTGGGGAACATTAGTCAGAAGCATTCTATTCGGTGATTACCGTATTTGATTGCTGCACTTGCAGCAGTATCTGTGCATGTACCAGTGTTGTCTGAACAGGAAAGTGGGACTGTCACCTCTGAAAATCATTTAAGGGTAGAGCAGTGGCGAGTGGGAATAAATTCATAAGTTAAAAGTCCAAAGAGTAGTTGAACAACCGTAAATAGTATCTAAGCATATTTGACTATAGGGGTGAAGAATGCATGATGGTTATTATGGTTTTGGAACTAACATTATCCACCAAGCCAGGTAATAGAAAATAATTTGAGTTAAAAAAAATTGTCACTATGATGTTGCTTTCTTTAGTTTTGCAGTGAGATGCGAGCATCAGCACGTACATTACGTTATGGGCTGCACTTTGTTTAAGTAGGTGGTGGTATTTATATTGGTACCTTGGCATAATAATACAATTCGACCTGTACATTTGCTTTCATTTTAGTACGCATGTAATGATCTGTAAAGTCCCACCCACCGTGTGAGTTTTATACAAGAAATATTGCAGGTTTATTTATTTTTCAAATGAATATATAGATATATATATCTATATATATCTATATATATATATATATATCTCTTGATGGAGAGCACTCACAGGGCTCCGTATATATCAAAAAAGTGCTTGTATTTCAGCAACATACGATCACGAGTAATGTCTGTGATGTTTCAGTCTAGCTGGACTTTTCTCAACACTTGACATAGCTCGTGATCGTATGTTGCTGAAATAAAAGCACTTTTTTGATATATACTGAGTCCTGTGAGTGTTATCCATCAAGGTATATATATCATTTGAAAAATAAATAACCTCCAGTAATTTTTATTTATTATTGTTTTTTTTGTTTTTTTTTCAACTTATTTCTTTTTTTTTCTGCAGCGCAAGTTGGAGGCCGAGCTACTGCAAATAGAAGATCGTCATCAGGATAAGAAAAGGAAATTCTTGGAAAGCACAGAATCTTTCAACAATGAACTTAAACGGGTAACTATTAACTTGTTATATGTAGACTGGTAGAGAAATGTACAGAAAATGTAATCTCAGAAATTTGTTTGAGAAGACAAGATGTTGTGTAACTGAGTAAACTGCTGTGATGGCATAAACTCATACTATGAGCATATTCGGAAGAGTTTGGACAGAAAATTGTAGTTAACAAGAGAATTGTAGCATTTTAGCCCCAGCAAGCAGGTTGGTAAAATTATTCAAACGCCTCTTTTAGTACAGATGGGGTGATAGACCCTTACTTCAGTCTATAATTACTTCTGTATCTTGTATGATGAGATGATGTGATCTCATTTTTATGTATTTTCCTTTCCAGCTGTGCAGTTTGAAGGTTGAAGTGGACATGGATAAGATTGCTGCAGAGATCGCACAGGCAGAGGAGCAGGCTCGCAAACGCCAAGAAGAGAGAGAAAAAGAGGCTGCCGAGCAAGCTGAACGCAACCAGAATGCCGCCGCCGCTGCTGCTGCTACAGCTGCTGCTGCTGCCGCAGCCGCTGCTGCTACAGCTGCTGAGGAAGAACCGGAGGCTGCGAAGGTGGATGAAAAGAATGAGGAAGAAGAGGCTCCTATGGAAACTGGTATGTGCATCCACACACAAAATTATTTGAAAGCCTGTACGGAGGCAAAGAGGGAAGGGTTTGTAAAGGTGCAGAGAGCAAACATTAGGACCATTAAGTAAAGTAAGTAATTTTAGTAAAGCCATTTAATTACTGAGATAGATTTCCTATGCTGAACAATGTTTACGATGAACCCATCTGAATTACTAAATTACTGCAGTCGATTGGAAAGGCAGGATCGTGATTTTTCCTTTTTTTCCCCCTCGTTATTTTTTAAACCTGGCTGTGGAATTTAGGTTTATTTTTCTGTTCCTTATCTAAATTACAGAGTTTTAGTTTATCCATTAGCCCTGTTTCACCAAGCATAAAATACATTTTTATTTAGGGGCTTTTTTGCTATTTAATATCTCTTTTAGCTTCTGAGCATGGCTTCATTCATGCTATTGTACAAACTGCTCCCTTCACACATTCATTATTGTGTGTCAAGTCTTATATCCTGTGTGTCTCCTCACGGAGTCTGACTTTGAGGATAAGTGAAGCTATTGAAATGAACATCCATCTTTCTTTATAAAAGCATAGTGCAAAACAGAAGCTGTACATGTACCTGACAGTATTCTGTTTGTTTCCAAAACTGTGTTTTATTTGAATTAAAAATACAATATGCATTTAATGGCCTGGGGCGCTGTTCTTCTGCCTACAGATTTAATTTTATTTTGTGCCCTGGCATCAGTCTGGCTACTGTGAGCGACCTAGAAACATCTAGCTCTGAGCCAATAAAAACAGCCTGCCCTGTTCTAGTATCAACAGAACATAGCTCCAATCTCTCTGTGCTGACAGCTCTGTCTCATTTTTCAATGTTGTGATTTTCACACCCTTGTTTTCAAATACTTATGTTGGAACTGAAAAAAAACCCACAGATACTTTACGTAAAATATCATAGAAATCAAACTTGGACAAAATTTCAATTGCTCGTCATTCTATCTTAACTACATATTTGTTCTAATGTATGTTACAAATCCAGTCTATATCAGACATATTGTCCAAACCATACAAATCTTTAATCATGTAATTCTATCCTTCCAGAGGATACTCCTTCTTTACCCCCTCCAGAGGAACCCAACGAGGTCCAGCAGAATGATGAGGAAGGAACATCAACCCCCGAGGACAAGGAAAGTGTTCAGGAGGCTGTGGATAGCACTCTGGATGAAGGAACAAGCGACAGCAACACCGGGTCGGAGAGCAATAGTGGAACTGTGGAAGAACCGCCACCGGACCCAGTGCTAGAGGAAGGAGAAAGGAAAGACTGAACACCTGGCATACCGATCACAGTCTTAGTCTTACTTATAATAGATGGAACTCGTGCATGTGGAGAGCAATCACATGAAGCTTTTCTGCTGTCAGTATGGCAGGGCAATAGATAGCAGGGGCTTACCTTTTTATCCTTTCTTTAAAGCCACAGAACATTCTATCGCAGGGGCTTCCTGCATCAAAGGGTTGTTAATCCTGCAGGCTCTAAACTGGTTTAATTTTATTTGTTAAAAAGTTCTGTGAATCCCACATTCACACTTCAAAACTGTGGGCTTTTATTTATGTCTCAGGATTTCCTACAAACACAGCCGCCTAGTGGCAGCTCTACACAAAATGCACACTTTTTAAAATCGGTCATATTAGCAAGAACCAGTTGTATTTTTTTGCTTGTTTTTTTTAAGACCATTTTTTTTATAACTACAGTTCAAATAAAGAAACCTGTCAAACATAAATGTAATTGTTTTTATTGGGATTTATTTTGGACTTTATGGGCATAGTAAATTCCACACCACTTAAAATCCACATATACACCTGAAAAACTCTCAGTAAATTTTGGGTATTTAAGTAATGACATGTTATGTCCATATTAGAAAATAGAAAACGAAAGGACCTTGACTCAGCAAGCTAATATGTATATGGTATATAAATATAATATTTATATTTCTCTCTTGGTGGTGCAAAGCAAATATAGTGGCTATGATATGCTTCAGTCTTATTATCTCATTGTCCTGACACATAAAATAATTTCACTTGCTTAGAGCTCTGTACATTCCACTCCATAAGTTATAAGTATTTCACTTATAATATCTATCATTGTATGGAGTGATTACTGTGGTCTGCACCTGCCAGAGTTGCAGACCACAATGCTCCCTGTCCTGGTACAAGCCCACCTATGTCCTCTTTAGCAGCCCTGCCGGGCATCTGGCCATACAAGATCCACATCCCTTCTTCACACTTCGTTACCTATATTTGGAAAGGAAGCAGTTTCTTTTAGGGGTGTTTCTTGTAGGGCAAGGTAAAGTTGGTTACACATGATTGATGTAATTTTAGGTTGTAAGATCATTTACACACATAGGAAATTTCACAATCGGGCAGAAAATAACAGCCAAAAATTACAAGCATTCCACAGAAATGTTTGCATCCAACTTAAAAAAGGACTCTAACGCTGGACTCCGTAATAAATAATTTTTATTTATGCATAACCCCTTAAGGACCAAACTTCTGGAATAAAAAGGAATCATGATATGTCACACATGTCATGTGTCCTTAAGGGGTTAAATAAAACCAATTTCATCTGGGAGAAGGCAAGCACACAAAATAAAATCGATTTAAAACTGTGTTTGATATATATTTGTGCACTTACATAGCTGTAGACTTTTTTTCTAAAAGTGAAAGTTTGATCTAAAGATAGCAATTCCCGTTTTCTATTTCCAGTTTAAGGGGATAAAAAAAAACCTATAGTGTAATGTATGTGTCCTCATCTGTCACAGTACAGCTTTCTCCTAAATGACAGTTTACAGTTCTCCCAAGAATAACTTAACTTTCAAAGTGTAATTGTACCTCCTCTGTCTTTGTTTTCTTCAAGTATGACAGACAAATGCCCCTGAAGCAGTTTAATACATTACCACAAACTTGTCCGTCTGCCAGTTTCTAATTATGGGAACTGGATTTTCATTATGAATTGCGTTAAGCTTCAAAGGGAATACTCAGTGGGAGATCTGTTTTAACTGGCCAAAGATAAATTGGAGTATATTTTATGAGATCGCTTTCATTTAATGGGATGTTATTTTTAAAAACTGAATTACGAATATTGAGTAGTAAATGCTAAATAATTGTGTCTGGGTTAACTAATCAGATTTTGGAAACAATGTCAGTGGGATCCCCCTTAACAAAAAAAAAAATAATAGATGATATCCTTGCTAGACTTTAGAGACCCTCTGTTATTTTCACGGAGCACAGCGAAGCCTTACTTAATATTCACGGTGTTTTCTTTGAATTTAATTTTGCAAAGACAAAGGGAATTGGTGGCTAAACTTGGAATTCTAGTGAATTGAAACCTCAATGGCAAAGTTTAAGCTAAAATAGTTCAGGTAATAAAAAAAAAAAAAATGTTTGCATATGTGTTCATGATAGCAAATAATCTGCAGCATGGCTACAATTAACAATACAGTGGAACCTCGGTTCTGGAACGCTCCCTTACTCGAACAATTTGTTATTAAAACAAAATATTTGAGAGAGAAAATGTCTCCGTATTAGAACAAATTCACACAGCATTAACCTCGTTGATATCGCTTTGGAACCACATTGGTGTGACGCATCGGCCTCCTAGCACTAGACAAAGCGAACAGAGCTCCATTCTGTCAGCAAACTGAGCTGACCGGTAAAGTGAAGTTACATTTTCATTTCATTTAAATTGAGTTTTTTCTGTATGACTTTATGCATTTAATATAAATTTGTGTTAAAATGCTGTAATTTTGGGGTTCTTGGACGGATTAATCTAATTTACAATGAATTATTATGGAAAATTTTGATTTGTTTTTTTCAAACCAATCAGTTCTTAACCCCTTAAGGACACAGCTTCAGAAGCTTGACTTACGCTTAATGACACAAGCAATTTTTGCATTTTCTTGCTGTTTGCGTTCAACTGCAATTTGCATCTCTCTCATTTATTGCACCGACACATATTATATACTGTTTTTTAAAGGACAGAAAGGGCTTTAATTTGATATAACATATATATATATAAATGCTTACTTATTATAAAAAAAATACAGAAAAATGCAAAAAAAATGAAAAACATTGTTTTTTTTTACAGTTTTTGCAATAATAATGTGTGCATAATTAGTGCAGGTTAAGGAAAGTAATTAAAAATAAATTTATTTGTTCTGATTTACAGAATATATAATGTGTCTGGGATTTTAAGTTTTTTTTAGTAGTTACAGGTCACAAAGCACAAGGAGTAAAATAAACTTTTAATGTGGAGCGATTTTAGAATTTGGTATGTTTGTCTTGTAAGCTTAATAGCCATAAAAGAAAACAAAATTGCCACACAAAGTATATATTTATATAAAGTAGACATCACGGGCTATTTACCTAAGGTTGTTTTGACACTTTCTACGTAGCCATATTACCGCCAACCTCTGCTAAATATTGGGGTAAAATTGTGTTCTTTTTGGTTTTTGGCACACAAACTTATAACAGAGAAATTCTCGTGTATATTTTGTAAAATTGGTGTGTGCTATTCCTGTACAAAGTTTTATTTTGTGTTCAGTTACATCTGCTGAGTAAAATGACACCCCCATTGTATGTCTTTTGCACTATTTCTTGAAGTTACAGTGCCATACAGGATACCTGTCCTTTTCAGTATTCACAGTAGAATTTTGAGAGATGGATTTAATGAGCCTTAGCTTCCATTTTGGGGTATTATAACAGTTTGGCTGTTCAAAAAACCCCCACAAAGGCCTACCATTTGTAAAAGTAGACACTCCAGGGTATCTTATAAGGTGCATATTGTGCCTTAACTAGCCCCCATTTTTTCACCAATATATGCCAAAGTATGTGGTAAAAAATAATTTTGTGCATTTTTTACATACGGATTGCATTTTTGCTGGGCGTTTTGTATATTTCATATGTGCCACTAAGTTCAAACCTCCCAAATTATGCTCCGCTAAGTCTTTTGAGTAAAAATACACCCCCAATGGATGTCTTTGTCACTATTTTGTGAAGCTACAGTGCCATATAGGAGACCAAGCCATATCCGTTTTTACCAAACTTTGAATTTTTACGCTGTGCCTATGTGCAATTTCCAAGCATCTTCGCAGGTTTTAAATTCAAACTACCCCACAAAGGCCTACCATTTCTTAAAGTAGACACCCCAGGGTGTTTCAAAAGGTATTGTTTGAACCTTAGCGTGGGATCATTTTTCTGCTAGCTTGTGCCAGATGTAGTGGTAATAAGCGTTTTTTCTGCCTTTTTGACATACAAAGTGAGTTTGCACAGTATATTTTGCAAACCTTATGTGTGCTACGACTGTATAATACTTCATATGTTGCTCAGCTATGTCGGCTGAGTACAGCAATACCCCCGTATGTACCTTTGCCAGGTATGTGTGGACATCGGAGGGCACATTTGGGACACAGCCATTCCAGTTTTTTTCAAACTTTGAATTTTTATGCTGTGCCTATGTCCCATTTTAGAGTATTTTACCAGGCTATATAATCCAAATTCCCCATAAAGCCATACCATTTTTTAAAGAAGACATCCCAGGGTATTTCAAAAAGGCATATTTTGAACCTCAGCGTGGGATCATTTTTCCGCTAGCTTGTACCAAGTGTAGTGGTAATAAGCATTTTTCTGCCTTTTTGACATACAAAGTGAGTTTGCACAGTATATTTTGCAAACCTTATGTGTGCTGCGACTGTATAATACTTCATATGTTGCTCAGCTATGTCGGCTGAGTACAGCAATACCCACGTATGTACCTTTGCCAGGTATATGTGGATGTTGAAGGGGCGCATTTGAGACGCAGCCATTCAGTTTTTTTTCTAACTTTGAAGTTTTACGCTGTGTCCATGTTCCAATTTGGAGTAGTTTAGACGGTTGGTTATTGAAACTTCCCCACAAACACATACTATTTATTAAAGAATACACCCTGGGGTAATTCAAAAGGCATATTTTGAACCTTGGCATGGGATAATTTTTTCTCTAGTTTGCTCCAGGTGTAGTGGTAATGAGCGTTTTTAAAATGTATTTTTTTACTTTTTATAACTTTTTTACTTTTAAAAACTAGTTTTTAAACTTTTCTTTTGCTTATAAATTTTTTTTAAACTTTCCTAAACTTTCTTAAAACTTTTTTACAGATTTAACATTTTTCTAAGCTTTTTTTTTTACCGTTAACCCCTAACTAGCAGTACGCAGCAGTAACAGTAAATTCATTTAAAAAAAAAAATCAGATCATAGTAAAATGTAATCCCTGCCAATTGATCACTGTAGTCAGTGATCAATTGGCAGGGAAGGGGTTAATTTTTTATTAAAATGGGTAAGGGGGGGGGGACTTTAAATAAACTTTATTTTTTTTTACAGCAGGGGGCAGGATCAGCACTGATCCGGCTCCCTGCACTTCACACAGAACCCGGAAGTGCAGGGAGCCGGTAGGTAAGTATACAGAGCACATGTGCTCGCTCTGACTTGCGGTCAGAGCGAGCACATATGCTGGGCAGCCTGACCGGGTGCTCCCGGTATGCCTCTAATGCAGAGGCATACCGGAGCACCATTAACCCCGCGATCGCCGCGATAGCGGCGATCCGGGGTTAATTTTACCGCGTGACGGACGAGGTCCGTCACCCGTCGTTAAGGGTCTCCCTTGTGTGACGGACCTTGTCCGTCACCCGTCCTGAAGGGGTTAAACAGCCTTCTGGAACAGATTAAGTTTGAGTTCCGAGGTTCCACTGTATTATATTTTAAAAAGCATGGGATGTGCCCTTTGCATTAAA